GAAGGAGCTCCTGGTGGCCATGCACGTGCACGGGGCCCTGGCTGGCCTGCAGCCCTCTTGGCAGCCTAGGCATAGGTAGGGGTGGAGCAGACAGATGGCCGGGCTCACTCGCTGAGCCAAAGCTGGGGAAGCCACCAGGAGGCTGGGGAGGGAGGACAGACAGTGAGCACGCTGGGTTGCTGGCAAGAGAGCAGTTGACGTCACTATCCCTGGAGTCTGGGCTGAACAGGGCAGTGAAGCCAAGGAGGAAGCATGGAGAGCGGGGCTGTGCAGTGTCTACTGAAGGGACTCCTGTCCCCCAAATCCAGTGACATAGCAGTAGGTCACGTGGGGGCCCAGGAGGTGAGGGGGCCTGCATTGAAACTGGCTGGGGGACAGGATGGGAGGGAATATCTTCGGATTAGCCAAAGACACCTCGGTGAGGGTTGCCCTGTGAGCCAGAGCTGAGCTGGGGCTAGAGAGCGGAGCTGTTTGGGTCCATCACGGCCGCGGGTGAGCTGCACCCAGAGTCGTGTTCAGGGGACTGTGATTGCAGGGAAACAGGAAGACCTGCGACCGCTGCTTCCAGGCGGCACTTTGGAGGCCGGAAGGGAAGGCGCAGAGCGGCAAGCCACTGCCCTTCTTCCCCCATTCCCAGCCTGGGTGGACTTCAGATCCACACGTTCCCAGTGCCAGCGCTGGCTGCTTCACCCCTGTGATGCTCCAAACCTAGTAGGCGTCTGCTCTGTTGCATCTGTGTACCTGGATTTTAAGCAGGCAGATGCAGCCGCACAGATCTTTGCATTCCCCACCGTTCTAAAGCCAGTGACTGCTCAAGGCCTTCTTATTGGACACAGCCTGCCTGCGTCTCAGCAGGAGCGAGTGGGGGAATGTCAGTGCTCCAGGATTTGTTTTTTTTTAAGATTTATTTTATTTTCATTACAAAGTCAGATATACAGAGAGGAGGATAGATAGAGAGGAAGATCCTCTGTCCGATGGTTCATCCCCCAAGTGAGCGCAACGGCCGGTGCTGCGCCAAGAAGCCAGGAGCCAGGAACTTCTTCCAGGTCTCCCACACAGGTGCAGGGTCCCAAGGCTTCGGGGTGTCCCCGACTTCTTTTCCCAGGCTTTCCCAGGCAGGGAGCTGGATGGGAAGTGGAGCTGCCAGATTAGAACCAGCGTCCATATGGGATCCCAGCGCACTCAAAGCGAGGACTTTAGCCACTAAGCCATGGTGCCGGGCCCATCTCCAGCATTTTTGAGAAGCATTACAGGCACAGCATCTCTCCCCCGAGGTTTCGCCTTGGAAAATCTGCATGTACTTAATGAGCTATCTTGAGGGTAGGACCTCAGATCCAAACTGAAATTCATGTGTGTTTCATGCTCACCTTATAGACTGTGGATGACCTTATGCAATGTTTTTAAAGATAATTTACTACATGAAACCAAGTGCCCATATTTACAGTCCAAGGAGCTGACAGGAGCTTCTTGCTTGCTCTTGGTTCGGGGAGGGGATGCTAAGTGATTGCTATACTGTGTGTCTGCATTTTAACCGTGGCCTTCCCATGATCTCGTGGGAAGGAGTTTTTCTACTTGGGGCATCATGTCACATTTTGGAGCATTTCCGATTTCGGATTAGGGGTCCCTAGCCGCTGTTTCTCTCTGTACCTTTCTCGGACCAGCCTTATTAAACAAACATGTTTCTGGCCAGGTGGCGTGTACTCTGTCAATAAATACACCCATGGAAATAATGTCTTTCTGAACCTGATGACACATGGGAGTTTGTTTATGGGGGCCCTAGATGCAATCCACTTAATGGGGAAAATAAATTGGGCAGTGGCCGGGTAGAGAAAAGGGGACAAAGATGTTGAGCTTTGGCAAATGCTATGAGAAATGAGCTTATCTTCCCCAGAAATATTTCACTAATAAATGGACAGAATTGTGCCCCCCGCCCCCTCGTGGTGGCATTTAGTTCTAGTCCATCTTGCCAGGACATACAGTCTGTTTTTGTTGTTGTAAGGGACAGAGTAAGCTTTGGAGCTTCAAAGGTGTCTTGTATGGAATGGACCACATCTCTGTGCCTGGGAAACGTCTCCGCTGCTATTCTAAAGAAACCAGAGTTCAACTTGAGAGCAGCTGGAATAATGGAAGGTGGCGGTTCTATTCCTGTAGGCCAGAGCGTTTGTTGGTATTCCCCTGTTGCTGTGTCGGTGGTGTTTGGACGTGGGACCTTGGGGAGATGACTGCGTGACGAGGGCCCCCAGAGTGAACTAAGGGACGAAGGAGCCCTTCGGCTGGTTGTGGTGGCAGTGGCTCGGTTAGGAATGGGAGCACTCTGGGGTGCTCACCATGCGGTGTCCAGTGTCAGACCTCGACAGGTGCGGCCCTTTGATGCCAGGCTTCCCCGCCTCCCACAGTGTAAGACATACAGGCCTTCTCTTTACAAATGACCCCCGCTGCAGGAGTCCGTTACAGCAACAGAACATGGACTAACAGAGCTGTGCTCAAGTGTGGGGACCACAGAACTAAAGATGGTGGCCATGGTAGTGTCAAAGTAGTCGGGTACCTGGCAACGCTTACATCTTTTAGTGCCAAGTGAGGGGGGAAAACAAACAGAAACAGCCTAGAATGTTCTCCAGGACATGTTCTGTGTGTATGGTATTCCTGTGTTTAGTATTCCACCGAATGCCAAAGAGACTACCCACCTTACCTGTCTGTTGGCACCTCTCCCCAGACAGAAGTGGACACTTGGCCATCAGCTGCGAGGCTGTGGGTCCAGAAGTGGGGCTTGTGCACTTCATCTGAGATCCATTTCAACTCTCCCAGCGTACCTCCTGTTGGGGACTGTGCATGTAGTGAGGTAGTGAGTGGCACTCATCCCGCCCCTTCGTCCTTGATGGTGGCGGCGGCACAGGGAGCTGCTCCCGCTCCAGGCTTTCCTCCTCCGCCCTGCCTCGTGCTCTCAGTTCCCTCTCAGAGATGCAGAAGCTTCAGGTCGTTGGCGCCAGCAGCGTGAGGTTTTATTCAGACCGTCCAGGCTGTTAGAGTGGATGACCTCGGTTTGCATTTGTTAAAAATCTCTAGCCAGAGTCACTCCTTGAGCCTGCTACCAGGAGCTGAGCGGGCAGGGACAGGCACGCTGGCTCCCGGACGCTGCAGCTCACTTCCTGCGGGCACTTCTTCCTAATCCGGGGAGGAAAACGCGCCACTCTTTTCTAAAGAGAACAAATATGACTCCTTTACAGGATTCACGCCATGGCAGTGGGCGCTGCTTGAAATCTAATTAGCATGGCCTGAGTCCTGAGTGGGAGTGGAGGTGTGGAGGCTGTGGGAGTTGGCTGCGGCACACACAGCCAGACCATGTCTCACGGGAAGCTTTGTATTCTCTGAAAGCATTTCTTAAAGCAACTAGTCATGTGTTCTGATTTAATGTTTTGTTTTTCAATCCCAAAACATTGTTATCATATTAGAGTACTTTTTATAGACTTTCTACAAAATTATTTGGAGCAAAAAATGCACATTGCTGAACAACTCTGAAGCAAGTCTGCCTTCAGCTGTTTACAATGGGGACTTGTCCTATAACAGTAGCTTCTTAGGAACGAAAAGTGGGGTTTGGGCTGGATGATTTCTAGATAACATAAACTGCGGGCAGTTAAGCTGGCTGTTAGTAAGGTGTGGCACAGAAGGCTTCAGCAAACTTCCCAGGGACACCCGTCTTTCTTTCAGAAAGACTCTCTTGCGGGCTTGGCACGATGGCTCTACTGGCTAATCCTTCCCCTTCAAACACCAGTTCATATTCCAGCTGCTCCAATGCCCATCCAGTTCCCTTCTTGTGGCCTGGGAAAGCAGTCAAAGATGGCCCAAAGACTCTGGACCCTGTACCTGCATGGGAGACCTAGAAGAGGCTCATGGCTCCTGGCTTCGGATCAGCTCAGCTCCAGCCATTGTGGTTACAAGGGGAGTGAACCAGCAGATGGAAGATCTTTCTATCTCTCCTCTCTGTAAATCTGCCTTCCCAATTAAACAACAACAAAAAGCCCGCTTTGTGTGGGGGACTACATGTGGGGGTGTCTCCACCCTCTCCACTTGGCTTCCTGTGAACCCCCGGCTCTGAACAGTACAGCCAGACGGACACACTGGAACAGCCACAAAGCGTGCGTGGCTGCGTCGTCTGATCCCTGGTCACCCACCTGGTGGTGGGTGTTGAGTTTAGAAGTGATGATGGAAAATGTGCTAGAACACTCTCAATCCAATGTGAAAGGCAAAGAGTGAAGCCAAAACAGGGAGGCTGGCCTGAGCGGGAATGAGCTCCCTTTAACGTGGCTCCAGCACGTGGATGTGACACTACGGCCAGCCCACTGCGGGTGCTCGGGGCACTCTCGGGAAGGAATGGCTCATGGGAAATATCTGTTCCCATAAGATTAATCAGTTAACCAACCAAAGGAAACAACTGGTGAGAGAGAAAGATTTTTAATCATAGAGTTAAAAATTTACATAACCTTGTTGAACATAATATTATATATGTCACATTAAATTCTGGGGAATACAGGAATTGTCTGTGGGAATATCTCATTTGGAGCACAATTTATATATTAATGGATTGACTAATGATCCATCAGCAGAAAGCTTTGACAGAAAACTTTTTTTTTTTATATATAGCTTACTCCCAAAATATGTTTAAGAGTTGACTCTTTTACAGTTGATGGGCACATAATTTGAGAGCGAGCATCTCTTAGAATGAGATCTATCATGGTTTCATGAGTGTACACTTCGGTCTCTGATAAAGGAAGCTTTTCCATACATCATCATCATATTTCCTTTCACGAAAAAAAAAGAAGTGAATTCCTGAGATAAGGCATCGTGAGCATCTGCACAGAGCATCAGTACAAAGTGCGAGGTCAGCACTCGGGGGGGTGCCCAACATGGTCTACCATGACCTAGCCCAGTTCTCAGGCCTCCTTTGCCCTGCCCTGCGGAGCAGGCGGGTCCAGCACATGCCTGGGTGGCTAGCCCAGATGTGCCTAGGGATATGGGTATGTGTATATGTGTAGGGATGGGTAGGCCACCATGGCGACGCGGCCTGTCTTGGTGGCAGAGCATCTATTCCTAGGCCAGTTTGGCGGCATACCTGAGGCGGGCTCTTGGCTGGAGTTTGTACTTTTCTTTGGCAAGCATGACGTTGTGAAGCCTGGCTTCTTATGCTGTGCAAACAAGACAAACAAGTAGAATTCACCAAGGTGACACTTCCTAATTATTGTTATGCCTGGGGCTGGCTTTACTGGGATTCAGAGACAAATATTTGCATTTCCCCCCTAAATACCAAAGTGACTGCCATTGTTACAGGCTCCCCAGTCTCTCAGGGGGCCCCGTGCCAGCCCAGGGGGGACTGCATTTAGTGAGTGGTCTAGAAACATGACTCAGTGGGACACAGGGACCCAAGGCGGGAGACTGCCTGTCTGTTCCACGTAGTTTGTTTGAGGTACTGAGAAGAGAAGTAGCCCAACAGGATCTGGGAGGAAATAAAGGGAAAGCCAGCAAGGCATCCACCCACCACCCTGGGCCTGATCAGATCTCTGGCTGCATGTCACAGTCCAACTGGCGAGCTGCCGACTTGTGTGGTTCGATGAATGCCGGGTAGGAAACAGGACTAGCTGGTCAGTTATCAGTCTGACTTCCCTGAGACCTCTCTTCTCCTTGCTCTTGTCTGTCACACCACAGTATCTGGCTCTCTCCTCTCCTGGAGCGTTGTGTCCTTCCCCCCCGCCCCAGCTCCCCCCACCCAAATGTTCTCTTTTACTTTTATTTACTTGAAAGACAAACAGAAATTTCCCATCTGCTGTTACATTCCCCAAATGCTGCAACAGCTAGGACTGGGCCAGGCCCCTCCCACGGGAGTGGGAGAGACGCAAGGCCTTGAGCTGTCACCTGCTGCCTCCCGGAGTGTGTGGAGACTGAGAGCCAGGCGTTTCTACGGGGGATACCGCTGTCCCGAGAAGCATCCTCCTGCTACACCTGCACCCCTAGGCACATCTGAATAACCTTCAAAGGCCTTGCACATCACAGCTTCTCCCAGAGACACCATTGGGTAAATGAGGGCATCAAGGCACGAATTCCTAAGCCACAGACTGGCAGAGACAACAGGGACTGCCCCTGGGCAGACTGTCCGCTCCCTGTCTAGTGGATTCTCAGTCTTTGCTCCACTCAGACATGGACACATGTAGAACTGCTTGGAATGGCACCTTAGCAGCTGTTTCCCCATCTCAGGAACCAGCACGCAGGTGCACATGTGCCTGAGAGATGTGTTCATAGTGATAAGTAGGAACGGCTTACAGCTTACTCTTGCGAGAGCAGGTCACTCACAGTCCACTGCTGAAGGGTCAGTGAGCTAACACCTGGTGTGAGGCCCATCTCCCAAGGGATGGTGCTCCCACTAACAGCTCGCAAGGGTTGAGGGCTGTGACCTCACTCATGATCATGGTTGAAGCTGACATGTTGCTGAGCTTACAAAGCAATGGCTGCCCGAAGGGAATGTTTGTTGAGATAAAAGTATGTTCTCGTTGGAAAGCTCTTGGCTCTCCATGGGCTTCCTCCAGCCTCGAAGCACCTGTGGGCTGTGCCCCTGGTGGCATGTGCCCTGGGGCAGAATACTGGGTTGTAGCCTGAGGGTTCAGACTGCCTTAGACTGCACATCTGAGCAGACCACACTGAGGAAGCCAAGTATGGATCCTCTCCCACCAAAATCATATGATTCAGCAGAAAATGGGTTAAAGCAAACTGCTGGCACACAGAGTAGGCGAAGTACCTGCATTCTCTCTTCATTCCTGGGTAGAGTTAGGGCAGTCACCGACGAGTCCCGAGAGGTGCCTTTGTCTCGTCCTTGCAACTGTGTCTGGAATAAATGAACACACCCTCGCTGAAACGTCTACTTGAACCAGTGTGGTTATACTGCACATATATGTATGGTGTGCGTTTTATTCAAGCGTATTAACTCATGGTCATATTTTTGTGGGTAAAGATTTATTTATTTTTACTGGAAAGAGATATACTGAGAAAAGCAACAGACAGAAAGATTGACCCAAGGCCTTGAGCCGTCCTAGACTGCTTTCCCAGGCCACAAACAGGGAGCTGGATGGGAAGTGGGGTTGCCGGGATTAGAACCGGTGCCCACATGGGATCCAGGGCATGCAAAGTGAGGACTTTAGCCTCTTGGCTACTGCGCTGGACCCAAATAAATCTTTTTTTAAGCAAATAAATAAAGTACTATAATTTGTCTGGTCTCCCTTCTCTGGGTTTCCATTGCATTTTTGCTCTAGAGATGATTTCCTCCTCCAGTGTTAAAACCTTCAGCAGACCCTGAGCTCTCTGCGGTTGGGGTACTGATTGTTCCATGTCGTATCCCCAGCATCCGGGAAAGCACATGGCATGTAATAAGGTTACCTGTTGATTTCAAATGAACGTATTGACTGGGTGGGTAGATGAAGAGAGGGCAAAGCAGCCTGCTCTTATGTCCTTGGTTATAAAATCACAAATCAACCATATTTCATGTCAGATTTCAGTGATGTCTGATTCAAAGTACCGTCACTTTCCTCCCCTATGTGTTGTAAATTGGGGGTGGGGTGGGTGGTCAGTGGGCCATGTCCAATCCAGGTCCCAGCTTATGGCTTGGGAAAGCAATGGGAGATGTCCCAAGTCCCTTTTTTTTTTTTTTTTAAAGATTTATTTATTGGAAAGTCAGATATACAGAGAGGAGGAGAGACAGAGAGGAAGATCTTCCGTGTGTTGATTCACTCCCCAAGTGAGCGCAAAAGCAGGAGCTTCTTCCAGGGCTCCTACACAGGTGCAGGGTCCCAAGGCTTTGGGCTGTCTTCAACTGCTTTCCCAGGCCACAAGCACAGAGCTGGATGGGAAGCAGGGCCATCAGGACACGAACCGGTGCCCAGATGAGGTCCTGGTGCCTTCAAGGTGAGGACTTTAGCCATTAGGCTACCACGCTGGGCCTAGCCTTGAACTCCTGTACCCATGTGGGAGAACTGGAAGAAGCTCCTGGCTCCTGGCTTTGGATCAGCTCAGCTCTTCTCATTGTAGCCATTTTTTTAAAAATTAGTTTACACTGCACTTTAATTTTTAATTTATTATTTATTTTCAAACATTAAAAAAATTTTATTGGAAAGGCAGATACACAGAGAGAAGGAGATACAGAGAGAAAGATCCTTCATCTGCTGATTCACTCCCCAAGTGGCTGCAATGGCCAGAGCTGAGCTGATCTGAAGCCAGGAACCAGGAGCCTCCTCTAGGTCTCCCACATGGGTGCAAGGTTCCAAGGCTCTGGGCATCCTCTACTGCTTTCCCAGGCCGCAAGCAGGGAGCTGGATGGGAAGTGCAGCAGCCAGGACATGAACTGACATCTATATGGGATCCTAGCGTGTGCAAGGCAAAGACTTTAGCCACTAGGCTACTGTGCCAGGCCCATTGTAGTCATTTGGAAGGGAGCCAGCAGGTAGAAGATATCTCTTTCTCTACCTCTTTCTCTTTGTAACTCTGCCTTACAAATAAAAACAAATCTAAAAAAAAAATTGGGGGCCAGTATCATGGCATAGTGGGTAAAGCTACTAACAGCTTCCCATATGGGTGTTGGTTGTGTCCCAGCTGCCCAGCTTCTGGGAGCCAGCTCCTTCCTAATGACCTGACAACCCTGTGGGAGACCCCAACGCAGCTCCTGGCTTCAGCCTGGCTCAGCACCGGCTATTGCAGCATCTGGGACAAGAACCAATGGATGGAAGGCCTCTCTCTCTGTCTCTGTCCCTCTCCATAACTCTGCCTTTCAAAATCAATAGATAAATCTTTACAAAATAAAATTTAAAAAATATTTCATTTTAAGTGAAAGACAGAGGGCCTGACGGAGAGACAGCAGACAAACGAGAGCTCTCTCATGAGCTGCTTCACTTCCCACGTGTCCGCGGAGTCCCAGACTGAATCTGAGCATCTCATGCAGGTGGCAGGGACCGTGTGCCCGAGGAGTGATCTGCTGTCGCCCAGGATGGACGTTAGGAGGAGGCTGGGTTGGTAGTGGGTAGCTGGGACTTGAACAGAGAACTCTGATGGGGTGCAGGACTGCCGAGTGACCACCCTGGCCTCCCCGATCGTAATGTCCCCTGGTCGCCGGGGCACGGACGAGCTGGTGCAGGCTGCGCCCCGTGGGACAGATGTGCTAATGAGATAAATCAAATGATCTGTGTGACAAATCAAGCAAAGACAATACCTCATTCAATTTTGATTTCTCATTTTTCATCATGGAAGAAGTGGAAATTTCTGGATTCTTGGGAAGGACTGGCCGCTTCTGCAGAGTGGAAGTAAATCCTAGCTTTTCCTAGAAGCATTGGATGAAGCAGAATATATTTTACAGTGGATCCATTCTCAATCGACCCTATTTACTCAACTGAAAAACTGCCACTTCCAAAGGGGTTTTTGTCTTCAGAAAGCCGAGGGTCGGGCGTATGTGAGGCAGGTGGGGGATGGCTCAGCAGGTGCTCTGCAGGCATCCTGAGCCTGGGCCTGGCCTGGTCCCTTGGTCACCACCACTTCTCCAGTGGAAGTCCAGACTTGGACAGACCCCAGAATGGCTATGACAGGTGCAGGAGAGGAGCGGCAGGCCAAGGCCAGGGCAGTAGACTCCGACCCCAAGCCAGAACATTCCCTCTCTGCCCTGGTGCCTATCCCTGCTTTGTTTCAGAGCAGACTTTAACCCCTTCTTTGTTTCCTCTACGGAAAGCCCTGTAGCTGACAGCACGAGGAACCCCACGGGGCTTTCTTACTGGGGTCTCTTCTGTCAACTTTACTTTCCGTGCCAGGTTGTTTTTCTGATACTGCTTGGTTTGCTGTTTCCTGGTCTGCAGTGGCTTCTTTTTTTTCTTCTTAAGCTTTTTCTGATTCGCCTGTTCCAGAGAGTAGAGAGAAACGGGTCAGTACGCATTCTGGCACCATGCTCACCCACACTCAGCCTTCTTCTCATCCAGCACCCAAAGGTGCAGCCTGACTGCAGGCCTTGGGGTCGGTTACCTCCTAGCAGAGGCTGCTCCCTACGGAGACCCCCAAACCCCAGTACCACAGGCAGCTGCTAAAGGGGCACCTACAGTCAGAGCCACGGATCTGTGATTTATGATGGAAACTACATTGCTTATGGCACAAATGGAGGTCTAGATAACACCAATCATTAGATTATGAGTATACAATTCAGTTTGGCTATTACCATAAAGTGGCTTTGATAAGTAAGCCAGAGAGTTACAAAGGGCAAGATGAAAGTTATAAAGGCCAGGGCGACAAGTTAGAACACCTGGCTTTGTCTTCCGTAGACCTGAGGACAGTCGGAAGAACTCCCCCAAATGACCAGGTAGCATGTTTGTGAGGCTATGGCATCTGGGGTGGACCAGTCAGTGTAAGCTCACCTTATCTAACATAGAGTTCATTAGGTGAACAGGAAGGCCGTCCGAGAGGGAGCTGTCCGAACCGCTCGTGCTGTTTCCCAAAGGAAAGAAGGAAGGACAATCACTCATTAGCGGTATAGGAAGTGAGTAAGATATTTATGAGAGCAGACACACAGCGGCAGGATCTCAGTCCGCTATCTGCTGCAACATCTACTCTGCAGCGACTAAGGATTCTCGTTTTGAAGATGTGTTTATTTCTGTTGGAAAGGCAAATTTATAGGGAGACAGAAACAAGGTCATCCATCTGCTGGTTCACACCCCGGAGTGGCTACAACGACCAGAGCTGACCAAAGCCAGGAGCCACGAGCGTCTTCTGGGTCTCACACACAGGCACAGGAGCCCAAGCATTTAGACCATCTTTCACTGCTTTCTCAGGCCATAAGTGGATGGCAAGTGGAGCAGCTGGTGCACAAAGCGGTGCCCATACAGGATCCCAGTACTTGCAAGCAGAGGATTAGCCAATTGAACTATCATGCTGGGCTCAACTAAGAATTTTTTAAAAAAGATTTATTTATTTTTATTGGAAAAGCATATTTACAGAGAAGGAGAGACAAAAGGATCTTCGATCCTCTGGTTTTCTCCTCAAGTGGCCGCAGGAGCCAGAGTTGAGCCAATATGAAGCCAACAGCCAGGAGCTTCTTCTGGGTTTCCCATACAGGTGCAGGGTCCCAAGGCTTTGAGCCATCCTCGACTGCTTTCCCAGACCACAAGCAGGGAGCTGAATGGGAAGTGGGGCAGCCAAAACATGAATTGGTGCCTAGATGAGATACCAGTGGTTGCAAGGTAAGCATTTAGCCACTGATCCATTGCACAGATCCCTAAGGATTCTTTTTTTTTTTTTTAAGATTTATTTATTTTTATTGCAATGTCAGATTTATAGAGTGGAGAGACAGAAAGATCTTCCATCCACTGATTCACTACTTCCCAAGCGCCTGCAATGGCTAGTGCTCAGCCAATCCGAAGCCAGGAGCCAGGAGCTTCCTCCAGGTCTCCCACATGGGTGTGGGGTCCCAAGGCTTTGGGCCATCTTTGACTGCTTTCCCAGGCCACAGGCAGGGAGCTGGATGGGAAGCGGGGCTGACAGGACATGACCCAGCGCCCATTATGGAATCCTGGTACACACAAGGTGAGGATTTTAGCCACTAGGCTACTGCACTGGGTCCTAGAGAGTCTTTTAAAAATAATTTTTTGTTCACTTCATTTGAGAGATGGAAAGAATGATATGGAACGAGAGATAAATTGGGATCAGAGAGTGGGGGAGAGAGAGATTGAAAATGGAAAACTCAACCATTTGCTTACTTCCTAAATGCCTACAAGAGTTGGGAGATTAGATCCAGGAAGCTGGCTTCAGGGCTGCAGCCCAGTGCCTGGAACTCCGTCAGGTGGTCCACATGGGTGGCAGGAGCCAACTCTTGGGTCATCACTGGTACTGCCATGTCTGTACCACAGGGAGGCTGGAGTCAGGGGTCAGAGCTGGGCATTCCTTAACTGCTAAGCCAAAGATCTGCTCCCAGTTACTATGGATTCCTTTTTGTTTTGTTTTTTTCCTTTTTTTTTAAAAAAAAAAAAAAACTTGATTTGAAAGGCGGAGAGACAGAGCAACACAAACAGAAAGAAAGGAATCATTTGCTGGTTCACTCCCCAGATACCTGCAAGCAGCCAGGGCTGGGCCGGCCAGACACCGGAGCCCCAAAATTCAGTCTGGGTCTCCCATGTGTGGTGGCAACCCAAGAATCCTTAGGGACCTGCCACCTCCCAGGGCACACATCAACCTCAAGTTAGATCAGAAGTAGGGGAGCAGATCTGAACAGGGCGTCCTAATGAGAGGTGCTGGTACCTTAGCTGCTGTACGAAACGCCCAGAATTCCTGACAAGCACATTCATTCATTCATTCTGAACACCTATTATGTGCCAGGCAGTGTGGGTCAGGCACAGGAAACACAAATGAAGGCGGCAGAGCCCTCTGGCACCAAGCTCACACTCCATGCAGCTCAACTGAATGCTGGCCAGACAGGCACAGCTGCCCTAGGCAGGGGTTAAGCACAGCCACTGGCTGTGAGAATGGGAGATTCTTCTCATTCATTCCTTTTCAGCTATTCCAGTTCAAAGAGCTAGGATTCTACCAGGGATTCTGTAAACATGTATTGAATACATAAAAAGTAAATAGATTTCATAAAGAATCTGTAGGCCAAAGGCGAGCAGTGTTATTTTATCCTCCCTGCAACAGGTGGACTCCCAGGAAGCCTTTCTCTGCGTACCGTCCCCTCCCCTCAACAGGGGCTAGGATGAAGGACTCAGATTACCAACCCTCGTCCACAGCACGTCTTCTGTTTGAGTGTCACATTCTATCTTTTCCTTTCTTGGAGTTCGGCTGGCTGCAGCTGAGAGCCGTGCTCTGGGGACAGGGCCTCCAGACGGAACAAAGTGCCAGGCACAGAACTCAAACCTCATGGGGGAAGCAGGTTTTTTTTTTTTTTTCCAGACCATTCTTGTGTGCAGTCCTTCATTCTCCTTAGCTCCCCTGGGTCCCTCCAAAGCACAGCAAGGAGCTTGACAGCCAGACCCAGAGGACAAAGCCCTCACTTCTCGGATCTCATTCTCCAGTCCCTGGTTTCACACGGCGCAGCCTCTGAGGCCGCTCAAGAGGAGTCCCTCCAGTCCCCTTCGGAGATAACAGGAAACTTGGCAACTGATGCGAAACACTCCATGTGCTTGTGTCCCGGAATGTGTTGCAAAGCTGGCGGGCGCACAGACAGACAGAGCAAACTCAAACCGAGCTCGTTCACACGCAGCCTTGTGCTGCGGATGGCTGGGTGCTGCCCCAAACAACGACAGCTAGCTTCCTGGTGTGGAGGCTGGCCAGTTGGCTCCAATCATCCTTTTCTTTGAAAAAATGTATTTGAAAGAAACAGAAGCAGAGAGATCTTCGTCTTCTGGCTCATTCTCAGTGGCCTGCAGCAGCTGGAGCTGAGTGAAGTTGCATGCAGGAGCCTAGAACTTGATCCCGTGTGGGCAGAGTGTGGTTGTGTTGTCACCTGCCATGTCCCACAGGAATCAGGAGATGGGAGCAGAACCAGAACTCAAACGCAGGACTTGAACGCACATACTCTTATATGGGATGCGGGTGTTCGCAAGAACTGCACTGAATGTCCCACAGTTTCAATACTTCCTAAGCTAAATGGATCTGGTCAGCTGTTTCTGAGTCGATTCCCTGCTCCATCTGCATCAGAGGGTGACGTGGTGGTCTTACAGGAGGGTTAAGCAAAGCATTCTGGGAGAGTGAAAAGGACGACACAATGAATGGGCCATGCTACTTGGCCTGGCTTAGGGTCCCTAAGGAGGGGTCGCGTAGCACAACGTTAAGCCTCTGCTCGGGACTCCCATATCCCCTGTGCGAGTGCAGGTTCCAGTATGGGATGCTCCACTGTTTCTTTTTTTTTTAAAGATTTATTTTATTTTTATTGGAAAGTCAGATATATAGAGAGGAGGAAAGACAGAGAGAAAGATCTTCTGTCCCATGATTCACTCCCCAAGTGACCGCAATGGCCGGTGCTGCGCCAATCTGAAGCCAGGAGCCAGGAATTTCCTCCAGGTCTCCCATACGGGTGCAGGGTCCCAAGGCTCTTTGCGGTCCTTGACTGCTTTCCCGGCCACAGGCAGGGACCTGGATGGGAAGTGGAACTGCCAGGATTAGAACTGGCGCCTATATGGGATCCTGGTGCGTTCAAGGCGAGGACTTTAGCTGCTAAGCCACGCTGCCGGGCCCTGCTCCATTGTTTCCAATCAGCTTTCTGCTACTGCGTGTGGGAAGGCAGTGGAGGATGGCCCAAGTTCTTGGTTCCCTGCCACCCATGTGGGAGACCCGGATGGAGTCCTGGGCTCAACCTGACACAACCCTGGGTGCTGACACAACCCTGGGTGCTGCAGGCATTTGGGGAATGAATTAGCACATGGCACATTTTGCTTTGTCTTTCCCTTTCTCTCTCAGTGTTTCAAGTAAGTGAGAAAACACTTTTTTAACACTTCCTAAGGATGGGCCCGGCACCCAGAGGAGTCTCTGTATATCTGACTTTGTAATAAAAACAAATAAATCTTTTTAAAAAAATTTCTTAAGGAGATGTTTGTGAGACTCAGACAGAAAAAAAAAAAAAAGGCTTTCAAGTGACAAAGTGCCACCGAGAGTGAGTGGGAGGCCCACCCCCTTCCTGCCATCCTCTCTGCCTTTACGGCTTGGCCTCTGGCAGAAGCCCCCCATGCCCAGCTCAGGAGCCCCTCGAGGGCCGAGGACAGCCTGAGACACAGCGGCCAGGAGACAGAAGTTGAAGGGGTTCTTGCCTGTGTGGGAGACACCCACCCACCTGGGCGCTTCTGGCTGTAAACAGGGTGGCTCTGAGGGTGGAGCTGGGATCACACACACTGAATTAGCTCAACCAGGACTCCTGAGCCCTCCTTCTGTGCTAGGGACCAGGGAGGGTGGCCTGATGGCACAGCAGGCTGTCTGCCATCTGGGATGCCTGTATTCCACGTTAGAAGGCCAGTTCAGGTCCAGGTTACTCCACTTCCAATCCAACCCCAGCCACAGGCAAAATCACAAGGTATGTGACCCGACCTTGGAGTACATGATTGGGACCGGGCCTCAGTTGCTGATGCCTATGCAGTGGCCAGCATGCCCAGATGCACACAGGGGACATTGTGGCCAGCTCATTTACATCAGCAGAGGACATCAACTGCCTCATCAGAGGATGAAAAGCAGAAAAGGTTGGACAACTTTCCAGGCCAAGCTTTTTAGCATGTTCCTGGGTCTGTGGATGCACTAAGGTGGACTTGGTCAGCTAACAGACCTTGGAAAGATTTTATCAACCTTGGTGTAACAAAGCTAACAATGTCTCAGAATTAAGAAAACCACTCAAGTAGCACTCTCAGACATTCTTCCCCACACCGGAGTCCCTGAGGCAGCATCAAATGACTGTCTTGCATCTCTGGTGCTGATGTAGTTTGACAGCAAGGAGGGGCCTCTCCTCCATCCCCCGCCCCCTCAGCAGACACAGGAGAAAAAACCAAAACATCTGTCCCACTCACCTTCCTCCAGGTCTCAACCTTCCCCAGCCTAATTTGAGGCCCACATGGGTGTGCATCCCTCTCAACTATGTAAAACATAGTAAAGAAAAAAATGAAAAAATTGTTTTAGAGCCCAGTGCAGTAGTCTAGTGCTCAAGTCCTCACCTTGCATGCACTGGGATCCCATATGGGCGCCAGTTTGTATTCCGGCTGCTCCACTTCCCATCCAGCAGTCAAGGATGGCCCAAAGCCTTGGGACCCTGCACCTGCGTGGGAAACCCAGAGGAGGCTCCTGGCTCCTGGGTTCGGATTAGCTTTGGCCATTGTGGCCTCTTGGGGAGAGAAGCAATGGATGAAAGATCTTTCTCTCTGTCTCTTCTTCTCAGTGTAAATCTGACTTTCCAATAAAAATAATAACTCTTAACAATTTTTGTTTTTAAAAAAAAAAGTTGAAATAGCTTCTGTCCAGTAACTTTCCACTGGACCTTTTGATGGAACTCCAGACTCACGTATCCGACCGCTTGGTCTCTGTGTGACACATCACGTGGGCATCTCAGACTTGGCACATCTAACACCAGACTCCTGACCTTCACCACCTTCCCAAGTCTTCCTCCTCTTCACCCAAACCATCACAGAATCAATCTTTTTTCATGTCCCATATCCATTCCATAAGCACATTTTAATGCTTGTAACTTCAAAGTTAGCTTTCAATCATCCCAACCCATTCTGCTCGAGTCACTACTATGACCCTGGTTAAGCCACTTGCTTTTCACCTGTGTTATGGCAAGAACTTCTTAATGAATAAAACAGAGAATTAAGGGAAAGGCGAGGCCTCCCCAGGGAGGCTGGTTAGTGGGCTGCTGCCACATCAGCAGTGTTCTGCCTTAAAAAACAAACATGTGTTTTCAGTTTGACTTTAGTAGGGTTTTTTTTTTTAAATTAAAAAAGTTTTCTTTGAAAGGTAGAGTAACAGCGAAAGAAAAATCTTAAACCTTGCAGTACCCAGTCCTAGGCCAGGAGACAGGAACTCCATCCGGGTCTCCCATGTGGGGGGGCAGGTTCCTGGATACTTCAGCCATCATCGGCTCCCTCCCAGGTGCACACAGGTAGTTGAGTTCAAAGTGGAGTAGACAAGGTTCGAACCATGCATTCTGATATGAAATGTGGGTGGCATTCCAAGCAGTAGCTTAACCTGCTATGCCATGATCACTGCCCCAGTAGGGATGTTCCTGTTGAATCTAAAACCATGTCAGATCGTGCTGCAGCTGCACCCAGAACTCTCCATCTCCCTCAGAGTGATGGGCTTGACAGTTGCCACCAGCTCCTGCACAAACTGCCCGACTCCCTTCCCCTCTCTCTCTTGAGCCTAAAGCTTGCAGGCCAAGAATATGCACTCCATTCATCAATTCATAATTACTAGGGGGATGGAGTTTATAACTGCACCTTGAGCTGGAGGGTAGAAATTATTCAGGTTTTTTGAACTAAACCAACAAAACAGGAATAAATGAATCAATTAAAAACAAGTAATCAGGGGCCCACAAATACATAAGGTTAAGCTGCTTCCCGCTGCACCAGCATCCCATATAGCCACCGGCTCCTGTTCTGGCTGCTCCTGTCCCACCCAGCTCTCTGCTCCTGGCCTGGGAAGAGCAGCAGAAGATGGCCCGAGTGCTTGGAGACTGGAACACCTGGCCGTCTCTCCTGGCTCCTGGCTTCCACCCGCCCCAGCCCTGGGCGTTGCAGCCATCTGAGTAATCAACCAGCAGATGTAACCCTGACTTTCACAGTAAGTAAATAAATCTTTAAATATATAGATAGGTATTTTAAAAACAAACAGAACCTTTCACTGGGTTTTCTGTGATATGATGTTTCTTACCTGGATTCAATGTCAGACAAAGAGATGTCACTCCAATTTCCTTCTAAATCCACATCTTGTCCAAGTTGGTTGAATTTCTTGTGGATTTCCTGTTGTAAGAGCTCCTTAAGTTCTGCTAGACACTGAGTGAACTGTGGAGGTGGGAAAAAAAACACATTTAAAAAAAAACATATGTACAAAAGAAAATATTTATTTCATTTATTTGAAAGCCAGAGTGACAGAGGGAGAGAGAAAAAGCGATCGTAGGCTCTGTGCCCGACGGCACCGCCGTCTCCTTTCTCTTCCAGCCCTTGCTGTGACGGACAGTACCTGCACGTCTCCCACAGAGACTGAATTATGAAGGCTTATCACTTCCTGACAGTGTGCAGGCTGGACGCATCCTTATTGTTGGTGACTATAAAACTTCAGAAAAATATCAAAAGGCAAATTGAGATCACCTGAAATTCCACTGGGTTAACTTGGAACCCATGTGAAACTCATCACAGAATTATCACTATTCTGGTTTTTGTGTGTGTGTGTAAATATATTTTTTCAAAGATGGAGAGAGGGGGTGGTGCAGCAACAGAGAGGGGTCTTGCACGCACTGGTTCACTCCCCAGGTGCTGGGCCAGGCTGAGTCAGGAGGCTGCAGCTCCATCTGGCCTTCCCACTTGCATGGCGGGGACCCAAGCCTGCCTCTAAGGGCATGCATTGGCAGGGAGCTGGAATCCAGAGTGGAGCCCTGATGCAAAGCCTGGCAGTACGCTATGGCACACAGATGCTCCAGGCAGCCCCTTAACCACTGTGCCACACGCCCCGTCTCCAGCACATTTCTTACAAACCTTGGCTTGGTCAGGATCACAGAAATCCAGAAGCGTGTCACAGACATGATAGCCTAAGGACTTCAGATCCTCGGTGGTGAAATGAATGTCTCTTTTACTGCCTGAGGGAGAGAAAAATCCACAAACATTTCATATCAAACCCTAATGAATGAACAGAAACCGAATCTGTTAGTATCTTTGCAGAAGTCCTACCCCTTAAAATAGAATAGTAAGCTTCTAGTCAGAGTTGCTCACATTATTTTAGCCCCCTTCAGAAGAATCTTTGACAATGAAAAAAATTATAATTATGATGGTTTTGGTTATTCACGTTTCACTTTATGCAGGTCCCTGGCATTACTGTCTCATTAATGTCTATTTATCATGCAACTACTATTACAGTATTATTACAATTAAAGAAAAATGAGGTTCAAAGATTTACCTGGAATTATGTTTTTTTTTAAGATTTATTTATTTTTATTGGAAAGCCAGATTTCCAGAGAGAGGAGGGGAGAGAAAGAAAGACACAGAGAGAAACAGAGAAAGAGAGGAAAGATCTTCCATCTGCTGGTTCACTCCCTGATTGCCTGTAACAGTTGGAACTAAGCTAATCCAGAGCCAGGAGCCTCTTCCAGGTCTCCCACGCAAGCATAGGGGCCCAAGGCATTGGGTCACCCTGCACTGCTTTCTTAGGCTGTAAGCAGGGAGCTGGATGGGAACTGGAATAGCCAGGAAATGAACTGGTGCCCATATGGGGATGCCAGCACTTGAAGGGGAAGGATTAGCCAATTGAGCTGATGCTCTGGGCCCAGAATTGTCTTGTAAAGGGGGTTTGAATCTAAACCTAAATCTGCCTGTCCCAAGTCCTAAGGAATCACTATGCTGTACCATTCCATCCAGTATTTCATTTCATATTCGTATTTTAGGGTACTGAGATTTGGGCTGAGGCCAGACTTGGCTGGTCAGACTTTGCTTGGCCTTCCCTTGCCAGGCTGGCTCGCGAGATGACCGGTAGAGCTTACCCAGGGTGGACCCACCAAAGGTCGACTCCATGGTGTAGCTGTTTAGGATTCCCATCCGCCACATCACGACTCGTCCCGTTCCTTCTTTGCACTTTTGGACCTTAAAATTACAACTATGAAAAGAGAACTAAAGAAAAATCCAGAATCGCTGTTAATTACGACCCAACACAAAAGAGAAGTCTAAGATTCGCTAGTCTGAGGCAAGAACATCCCCATGTCTACATATTATTTTTCAAACTTTGTTCCGTAAATGTAAGGATTTTTTTTTAAAGATTTATTTTTATTATTTTTTTTATTGGAAAGGCAGATATACAGAGAGGAGAGACAGGGAGGAAGATCCTCCGTATGATGATTCACTCCACAAGTGAGTGCAAGGGCTGATACTATGCCAAACCAAAGCCAGGAGCCTCTTCTGGGTCTCCCACACAGGTGCAGAGTCCCAAAGCTCCGGGCTGTCCTCGACTGCCTTCCCAGGCCACAGGCAGGGAGCTGGAAGGGAAGTGGGGCTGCCGGGATTAGAACTGGCGCCCATATGGGATCCCGGGCGCGCAAGGCGAGGACCTTAACCACTGCGCCACCGCGCCAGGCCCTGTAAGGCTTTTTAGAAGTTATTTATTTAATGTCATTTATTTCAAAGGCAGAGAGACAGATCTTCCATTTGCTGCTTTATTCCCAGATGCTCATATTAGCCAAAGCTGGGCCAGTGGAAGCTGAGAGCCCAGAACTTCATTTGAGTCTCCCAGGAAAAGAGCAGGGGCCTCTATAATTGAGCCATCATCTTCTGTCTTCCAGGGTACACGTTAGCAGCTGGCTGGATTGGAAGTAGAGGAGCTGGGACTTGAACCAGCTGATCTGAGATGGGATGCAAGCACCCTTCGCGGTGTCAAATGCCCACCCCTTACAAAATGTCTTAGTAGGTGTTACAGGAGGTGGAGAAGGCGGGTGGAGTTCTGTGATGCTGTTAGTTGGGAGATGAAAGGTTAAGGGCAAAATTCAGCATGTCCCCTGCCGGGCCTCCCAGAGCACTTCCTGTGCAATGGTGGACAGGAACGCCCACAGGAGAGTGCTCATCTTTGTGCTTTGTTTTCCAATCCCATCTGCCCATGAGCCTTCCTTTGTCTTTCTTTTCCAGGGACCATTCTGCAGAGTTTCTAGAATGCCTCTGTGGGAAGGTGGCCTTCCTGCGGCATTCAAGACCCTATGTGGATTTACCTTCTGTTTCTGCCACTCCCCAACTTGAACCTTTGAATCTATTTAAGCTTATTCTCAATACAAGAACTATGTATTCCTTACCCTGTAGTCTGCCAGGAACTCTCTCCTTCCCTTATGCTAATCTTATCACTTGGAGTTCAATATCCTCCATGGTTTTTTATGGCCACCCTAGCCCTTTGTCCTACAAGGTTTCACAGTATGTGGAGATTAAAAACTGAAATTGTGGGGGATGGCGTAACAGCATAGCACAATAATCTGTTCACAGTGCTGGCATCCTATGCGGGTGCCACTTTGTGACCCAGATGCTCCATTTCTCATCCAGTTCTGGGCTTGTGACCTGGGAAAGCAGCAGAGGCAGCTCAAGTCCGATGGCACCTGCACCCACTTGGGAAGCGCAGAAGTGCCCGGCTCCTGGCTTCAGATCAGCTCAGCTCCGGCTGTTGTGGCCACTTGGGGAGTGAGCCAGTAGATGGACGCTCTTTCCCCGTCTCTCTCCCTCTCTGTAAATCTGCCTTTCCAATAAAAATAAATAAATCTTAAAAAAAAACAACAACATGTAAATTGTACTGCGACTCCGGCCCCACTAGTGGCGCCCAACCCCGGGCATTCCTGCCGGAGGAGTGCAGGAGCCGGGGGACAGTGCTCCGATCACCCCAGGGAGTGTGCCTTTCCTGTAACTGTTCTTCATCCTGGGTTCTGGATATGATGCCCTTTCTGAAGAGAGAGAGGGAGAGCGGGGGGGGGGGGGACAATACAACCTTTTCTCTCCCCCCCCCTTTTTTTCTTTCTAAAGGTGTATTTATTTGAAAGGCAGAGTTAGAGAAAGAGGAGGAAGAATAAAGAGAGAGAGAGTTCCAAAAGACCATCTGGCCACAGAGCGGGTCAGGCCAACGCTGGGTGCTCAAAGTTCTGTTGAAGTTTCCATTGTGGATGCAGGGGCGCAGATGCAGGGCCATCAACCACTGCTTTTTCAGGCACGTTAACAGGGAGTGGAATGAGAAGCAGAGCACCTGGGACTTGAACTGGTGCCCATGGGGGACTCTGGCATTGCAAGTGGCAGTCCAATCTGCAGTGCCATGCCCCTAAGCTCTTCTGCTGACAATCAGTGGATCACATGTACGCTCTGACGGGGCAGTTACACCCCTGTTGGGATGCTCACAGCCCAGGAGACCTGGCGACCCTGTGCTTCAGATCCCACCTCCTGCTCCTGTACCCGGAGGACAGCAGACAACAGCCCAAGAGCTCGGGTTCAGGGGGGAGACCTGGGTCATCCTGGCCTGGACCCGCAGTGGCCACGGTGGAGTCAACTAGCAGATACACAATCTTTCTCAGTTTGCCTTTCAAGTCAGCACACGTTTAAAACAACAGTTAGTGATTGCCGACGCAGGGTGGACAGCCGGTCTCACTGTGGCCTGGCAGGAGGTCTTTAGGTCACCGGAGGCTTGCCCTTTGTGGGTGGTTCGCACAAGAAAGTTAGTGCTATAAACCAAGCAAGCTTCCTGGCTCAGCCTGTGACGGCCCCGCCACCATCCTTACGCCACATCAAGTGCCTGAATCAGTGGGCTGCACAATCCTAGACTACAAAGCTTCAAAACTTAGAGCCAAAAAGAATCCTTCCATTATAAACAGGACTTTATCCATTAGGCCACCGCGCCGGGCCCGAGAAGGATAAATTCTACCTGCTGATTCTGGGCAAGACCAAAGCCAGGGCCCTGAATCTCAATCCTGGGCTACTGCATGGGTGGCACGAGGGCAAGTACTTGAACCGTCACCTGGTGCAATGCAACTGCCATGCTGTGGATCTGGTTCAAAGTGGAGTAGCTGAGACTCGAACCAGCACTCCAACCGGGGATACGAGTGTGCCAAGCATCACAACACCAACTTTATTGTCTCCTTTCCAGCTAATAGCCACATTTAGTGGACCTATTTATGATGCAAAAAAACAGCTTCTAGACCAATGCAGATGATCTGTATGTGCTCAGCCAACTATTAAACACGTGGTTTTCATTCTCTTTTTACTACTTTGTATTTATTTGTGTCTCATATTAATTTTTGAAGGTTTATTTACTTTTATGTGGAAAGTCAGATATACAGAGAAAAGGAGAGATAGAAAGATCTTCTGTCCACTGATTCACTCCCGAAGAGGCCTCATTGCCAGGAGCTGCGCTGATCTGAAGCCAGGAGCCAGGAGCAGGGTCTCCCACATTGCTGCAGTGTCCCAAGGCTTTGGGCCATACTCAACTGCTCTCTCAGACCACACGCAGGGAGCTGGATGGGAAGTGGAGCAGCCGGGATTAGAACCAGTGTCCATTTGGGATCCCCGACACATGCCTGGTGAGGACTTTAGCCACTTGGCTACTGCACTGAGCCTGTGATCGTGTTTTAAACAAGCTTTTCTGCAAACTGACAGGAATTAGCATTGTGGTTGCCCTTTAACCCTTTTATTGCCTGCACAGGCTTGAGGGTGATAGGTAGCTTCAGTTCATGTTCATGTTCAGGGAAAGCAGCCAGAGAAAGTTTCTAAATATATTTATTGAGTTTTAATTCACATACCATAAAATTCACTCATCTGGGCCTGGCATGTGGCTCGGCAGGTTATGCCACCACCTGAAACACTGGCATCCCATCTGGGGACCAAGTTGAATCTTAGATGTTCCAGTTGTGATCCAGTCATCTGCTCAAGTGCCTGGAAGATTAACACAAGATCTCCCAAGGAGGGCCTGGCACAGTAGCCTAGCGGCTAAAGTCCTCGCCTTGCACGCGCCGGGATCCCATGTGGGCGCCGGTTCTAATCCCAGTGGTCCTGCTTTCCATCCAGATCCCTCTTTGTGGCCTGGGAAAGCAGTTGAGGACAGCCCAAAGCCTTGGCACCCTCCATCCACGTGGGAGACCCTGCAGAAGCTCCTGGCTCCTGGCTTCGGATTGGCTCAGCTCCAGTTGTGTGTTGTGGCCACTTGGGGTGTGAGTCATCAGACAGAAGATCTTCCCTTCTGTCTCTCCTCCTCTCTGTATATCTGACTTTCTAATAAGAATAAATAAATCTTTAAAAAAAAAATGTCCCAAGGACTTGGGGCCCTGCACCGTGTGGCAGTCTTGGATGGAGCTCCAGTGTCCTGGCTTCAGCCTGACCCAGCCTTGCAGCCTTTTGGGGACTAAATCATCAGACAGATGATTTATTTTCTCTCCCTCTCTCTCCTCTCACTCAGCACAGTTAGTTCGAGGTTGACCCTGAAGGTTAACCTATTTACCAGTGAGTAACATTACACTGTGTGAATAAATCCCATTTTAGTTATCTGTGCATGGGTCGATGGAACACAAAAATTCTTAAAGCCCCATCTTTGTAAATTCTTGGAAGTCTAGGTTGCTGGAACGCCACAGAAGGACAAGGCGTCCCACACAGAAACAGTGATTCCGCAGCCCCCCGCCAATGGCTGACGGCACCCTCGGGCTTACCTTATCGGGCACGTTTTTGCTTAACATCAAAGGAAAGACGCGCTCGTGAAGCCAGTACTTGCGGTTGTTGTTGTTACAGCCATACAGGAAGATGTTATTCTTACGACTGTGGCCGTGGAAGTCGCAGTACAAGAGCACTTCTCTCTCTTCAAGAAGTCTGGGAAGGAGACGGAGAACTCAGGAGACATGCAAATCATGCAGACCACCGAGGACCAGCTACGGTCTTCCCTAAGCGTGGCTACGGACAGCCTTCGTCCCCCTTCCACCGGATCAATCCTGTAGGCTTCCACAGATGCCGGTCCCACCCTCAAAACATGTGTCGCCAGCAGCAGCACCCCTCATCTCTGTCTCTGCCAGAGGGACCTGGAATGGAAAGTTGAAAGACATCTTCCATCCACTTATTCATTCCTCAAGTGCCTCACAATAGCCAGAGCTGGGACTAAAGCTCCATGTGGATCTCCTGCATTAGTGGGAGTGGCCCAAACACCTGAGCCATCACCTGTCACTTCCCTGGGATGCCTCACCAGACACCAGGCTCTGACACGAAGCAGCAAAGACTTGCGCTGGGACTCCAGTATGGGACACAGTTGTCCCCAGTAGCAGCTTGACCCACTGCACTACAACACTCACCCCGCAAATGGAAAAGTTTTAACATGACAAGAGGTGGTACATAGGCCTGGAGTAGGCTGACAAGGACGTGGAGTAAAGTTGTGGCAGGAGAGCCCACGTAGGTTGTAGGCTTGTGACCGGGGTGACAGTGGCAGAGAGAGAGCTGCAGGAAGAGGGTCACCAGGAAACACACCCCAACATGCCGATCGTGTCCCCTCCTCGTGGAGAGGCTGATGGTAGGAGGGGGGACAGGAGCGACAACGCGCACACTGATGATGGGTAAGGCAGGCCAGAGTGATGATCTCACTGTTCCCTGGAGCCACTCGAGCCGGGATACTGTCACTCTCATTCTACAAGTGAGGAGGCCAGAGCTGCAATGGCCAAGGTTAAATCGCAGACCCAGCCACAGTGGTAATACCAGGTCTCAAGTCAGTAAAAGCAGCTCTGGGTCCAGCGTGGTAGCCTAATGGCTAAATCCTCACTTTGTGTGTGCCAGAATCCCATATGGGCACCAGTTCCTATGCTGGCTACGCTACTTCCCACCCAGTTCTCTGTTCATGGCCTGGAAAAGCAGTAGAGGATGGCCCAAAGCGTTGGGACCTGGCACCTGCGTAAGAGACCCAAAAGAAATCTCCTGGCTCCTGGCTTTGGATCAGTTCAGCTCCAGCTGTTGCGGCCACTTGGGGGAGTGAGCCAGCAGATGGAAGATCTTTCTGTCTGTCTTTCCTTCTCTGTGTAAATCTGACTGTGCAATAAAAAAAAAATGAATGAATGAATGAAAAAGAAAAGCAGGCCTGACTCCCGCCCATGTGTTGATAACCATGCTGCCTGATGCCCAGCACTCCCCCACCCATTCACACAGCATTCATTCGCTGTCGGATGAAGCTCCTTCAAGGTGGGCTTGCTCACATGACAGTCATCCAGTGCTTTTACCAATGACCGGCTGTGCCTCGTGTTTCACTGACACGTGAGGCGGCTCTAGGTGAAATGTTGCACATCCAGTTTCACCTCCAAGACAAGACATGATTTGCCAGTAGAAACATGAAGCGGCTGGTGCTGTGGTGTAGTGGGTAGAGCTGTTGCTTCTGGCACCAGTGCTCCATAAATGTGCCATTCGGACACCCAGCTGCTCCACTTCTGATCTAGCTTCCTACTGATGTGCCGGTGGAAGCGGTGGAGAATGGCCCAAGTCTTTGGGTCCCTGTAGCCACCTGGGAGACTTTGGACTGGCTCAGCTCCAGCCATTGAGGCCATCTGGGGAGTGAGCGAGCGAATGAAGACCACCCACTCACTCACTCACTCACTCTCTGCAACTCCGCCTTTCGAAAATAAACCGGGGCTGGTGCAGTACCTCAAAGGCTAATATTGTACCTTGCGGTGCCAGAATCCCATAAGGACACCAGCTCTAGTCCTAGCTGCTCCACGTCCTATCAAGGTCCCTGTTTACAGCCTGGGAAAACACAGGAGGATGGCTCAGGTCCTTGAGCCCCTGCACCCATGTGGTAGATCCAGAAGAGGTTCCTGGCTCCTGGCTTTAGATCAGTTCAGCTCTAGCTAGTGTGGCCATTTGTGCAGAGAACCAATGCATGGAAAAGCCTCTTTGTCTCTTTCTGTGAATCTGCCTTTCAAATCATAAAAAAAATAATAATAATTAAGTAAACAAATGCATCTTTAACAAAAGGCACAGGCATGAAAAACCTCTGCCTAAGATCAAGTGTGACACCCGAAAGGGGCACCCAGCTCTGGCGCTCCCAGCACTTCCAGGAAGGGCAACCGAGCAAAGCTCTCACCTCTTGATCATGTTCCTGGTGTGCCAAACGCAAGGGAAAGAGTCCTTCAGGATGGTTTTATAGCGCCTGTTCAGATCCCTTCCGGCCAGCGAGCACCGGTAGTTCCCCACAATCACGCCGTCTGGGTTTAACATGGGCACCACCTTGAAGACAAAGATGTCCCTGAGGAGCTGGGCGTCGGGGGCGTTGCTCAGGATAAAATCCAGGAAGCCGTTCATGATCCAGGAGCCGTTGGTCTCCCCGGGGTGGACTCGGGCGCTCAGGACCACGGCCTTCTTGGCGGCCGCCTCTTGCGGGGAGCGGGATGGGTTGGTGATGGTGAGCAGGTACACCGTGTTCCCGGCCAGGCTCCGGCACAGCGTCCGCAGCTTGCAGAACTGGGACTGGGTGGGGTTCTTGGCCACCGACAGGAGGTAGCACTGCAAATCGGTATATGTGTAGGGGTAGAAATGGGCAAAAAAGCAAGTGTCCTGGTCATGTGGAAACCGAACGGTCCACGTGAGGCAGTAAAAGGGCTGCTGCCCATCGTCGGCCGGGTTCCTGTAATACTTGATTTCGTCGCCTTCTCGCCTCCAGCCGATGCTGTAGGTGCTGGCATCCAGCTGCGAGTACATGAGTGGCTTCACCCCTGCGGTGTAGAGGCTCTTGGGCTTCAGCAAGTTAACGATGGTGAAGCGATACGTGGTGTCTTTTCTGGTGTTCTGGACACGAAAATAAAACCACTGCGTGTGTTTGTTGGTGTAGAGGTCGGTTCGCAAGGTGAGTTCATACTCATAGGTGCCTCTGCAATGAACACAGAAGGATGTCTCTACAACTTGACGGGCGTCTCAAAAAAACAAATCTGGCCTAACACTATTTTCTCCTGGTTAAAAACAGGAGTCATTATAACTGAAAAGTGCACCAAACATTTATTTTCTAATGCACCCTGTTCTCCAAATTACATGTCGCCTTTGAGGACACCTGGGGAAGGAGAGTTTGCTTAGGGCGAGGAGGGGCAGTCTCCAAGCTCCCTGCTGCATGGCGCGGGGCGTTCTCCCACTGGGCATCCTCCCAGAGCAGCAGTTTCTGCCCATTGACTCGCACGCCCTCTGGTGGGCAGCGCCCATCCACCTCGCGGGTCACTGCTGGGGAGACGTTCTCAGCATTGTTTATCTCTCTGCTCATTATTTGAAATTATTTGAAAATGGAAGTATGCGCCTTGTTTAAAAGAAGCAAGACTAAGCTGCCGAGAAGGGAATACAAGTAGCTAAAAATTATATCAAAGGATAGTCCCCCACGTGGACGATTAAAGAAATGAAAACTCCAGTGAGAGGTCATTTTTCCCTCTCTGATGAACCCTCTAGCACTGGGAAATGGGCAGGGCCTGGTGCTGTAGCCTAGTGGCTAAAGTCCTTTCCTCACACGCACTGGGATTCCATAAAGGTTGATCTGCCACTTTTGGTGCTGGCATCCACTTTTGATCCAGCTCCTAATATGCCTGGCAAAGCGGCAGCAGGTGATCTTGCCTACCCCCAACCCTTCACCCCAATCCATGCAGGAGACCTGGTTGGAGTTCTAAGCCTTTGGCTGTTTTGGCCATTTGGAAAGTAAACCCACAGTGCAAGATCTCTCTATGTCTCTGCCTTTCAAATAAATAACCACCTTTTGAAAAGTTTATTTTCTAAAGAATCTTGAAATCCATATGTTTTTTTTTTTTTCAAAGAATGAAATTTTCATGAACAGCTTGACGACACCAAACGCACAGGGATCTCAAAGCAACTTTCTGCACCAAGATCTTTTCATTCCATTTTCTACAAACTTTTTTTTTTTTGAAAAGTTAAAAATTCCTTAATTTTTTTAAATTCCTGGTACCACTAACACAATTTACAGGGCAATATGCCTGATGTAATGAAAAGAAAAAGACAGAGCTACAACAGATAAAAGGCCTCAGGAATGCACATCTGATTGACACTACACTGCATTAATCCGCAGCTGCACGTTTTGCTAACCGTGGCTGTGGCAGCCCTGCACGAGAAGGGTTTCCTGGCTAAGCTGCAGGAACCTTTCTGACTATGGATCACAGTTCCTCCTGTGGCCGATTTTTACGGTTCCTCTCATGCATTTGGGACGACTCTCAAAGGAACCTGCAGCTTTCCTGACGACTCCTCGCTCTCTCTCCTGCTAAGAACTGGAGCCCTTTGCTGCTGTTTTTAGCACCTTCTGCCACCATATCCACCACTTCCACCACCAGATCCATAACCACAGCCCTCGGGACTGCCGAGCTTCTCTCACCAAAACTGCCCCCTTTCATGGGCCCATAATTTGATTGCTGTTGTCCGATATAATTTCTGAAATCACTGTCGTTTCCACCACCACTATACTTAGCTTCAAAATTCCCTCCTTCTTTGTAACCATCATATTCTCCTCCTCCACGACATCCGACACCTTGGTTTCCATATCCTGGTCCGCCACCACCACAGCCTCCCCTGCTACTGTAACCAGGACCACCGCCACAGCTGCCACCATCACCTCCTCCATCACCTCCTCTTCCACCAAACTTTCCGCCACGACCCATAAAGTTGCCGGATCCACCTCCACGGCCTCTTGGTGATCCAGCAGCAGACTGCATCTCTTGGTGAGAAAGACCTTTTTTCACTTCACAACTGTGCCCATTAATAGTGTGGTATTTCTGAACGACAATTTTATCAACTGCATCACGATCATCAAAAGTTACAAAAGCAAATCCTCTTTTTTTTTTTTTTGCCACTCTGTCTTCCATAACTCCTATGCTTTCAATCTTGCCATGCTTCTCAAAGTAGTCTCTCAAATTATAGTCCTCTGTATCTTCTTTAATACTAGAAACAAAAGTTTTCTTCACTCTTAGATGGGCACCAAGCTTTACAATACCCTTTCTAGAAACAGCTCTCTTTGGTCCCACGACACGCCCATTGAGTGGTTGACCCACCTCTTCAACACAAGAATAAGTCCCGAAACCAAAGCCCCGGGAACATTTTGTTTGGGGCCTCCGTCTGCGTGCCCAATTTCTCAAAATGTTCTCTCACACTATCATCTGTGCTTTCAAAGCTCAGATCAGCAATAAGCAGTTTCCTCAACTGCTCTGGTTCCTTCGGATCATGTCCCTCCAATTTGAGACTGGACTCACCTCTTCCAACTCGAGTTCAATATATCACCAACTTTTTTCTTAATGATTTGTTTATTTTACTTAAAAGTCAAGTTACAGAGAGGAAGAAACCAAGATCTTCCATCTGCTGGTTGACTCCACAGGTGGCTGCAATGCCAAAGCTAAGGTGGCCCTAAGCTGGTGGCCAGGAGCGTCTTCCGTGTCTCCCACGTGGGTGCAGGGGTCTCAGGACCTGGACGATCCTCTATGTCCCTCCCAGGCCATTAGCAGAGAGCTGGGTTAAAAGTGGAGCACTCAGAACCCGGCACGATGGCTCAGTGGCTAAATTCTCACCTTGTAAGTGCCGGTTCATATCCCGGCTACTCCACTTTGAGTCCCTGCTTGTGGCCTGGGACAGAGGTCGAGGATGGCCCAAAGCCTTGGGACCCTGCAGCCATATGGGAAACCCAGAAGAAGCTCCTGGCTCTTGGTTTCAGATCGGCTCAGCTCCAGCCGTTGCGGTCAGTTGGGGAGTGAATCAACGGACGGAAGATCTTCCTCTCTGTCTCTCCACTTATCTGTATGTCTGACTTTCCAATATAAATAAATAAATAAATAAATAAGAGAGAGAGAGAGAGAGAGCTTTTAGCTGCTGGCTTACTCTCCAAATGGCTGCAGTAACTGGGGTTTGCCTAGACTAAAACCAGGAGGCTGGAGCTCCATTTGGGTCTCCCTTGTGGGTGCAGGAGTCCCTGGCTCGTCTCCCACTGCCTGCCCAGGCATGGCAGCAGGGAGCTGCACCAGCAGCAGGGTTCCCTAGGCCTTGAATGAGTCTCTGATATGGGATTCTGGTGTTGGCAGGAGGCAGCTTCGTCTACTGTACCACACAGTGTTGCTCATCCTACGCCCTCCACCATTCTTCCATTTTACAAGCACTCCTATACCGTCATATTGTTCCTAAAGACACCTGCCTGTCGCTCCTGACCCCCACGTGCCCCCTTACTCACACTCGGACGGCTTTCTGCAGGTTTCCGCTCTCAAACCTTGATTCAAACAGCAGAGTGCAGTCCTCGGGGCCTTGCAGGGTGACCGCAAGTTCCTTGATGGCTCCCCGTTTGCCTCCCACTCGGGAGCTGGTGAAATAGGATGCTTCTGAAGGCAGTGCAGAGGGGAGAGACACGTTCAGCCAGGCCGCGCTCTAAAGTATTCCCAACAAGTACCGACGGGTCTCTTTGGGGACACAGCGCTATTCTAGGTGGGGACAATGACTATTTAGACTTGCCATGTTCAAGAGTGGACTAATTTGAAGTTCTTTAAAGTGGTTTAGAGGACAGAGCCTGATGCCTCAGTGGCTAAATCCTTCCAATGCATCGGGATCCTACATGGTCACCAGTTCACGTCCCGGCTACTACTCTACTTCTCATCCAGCTCCCTGCTTGTGGCCTGGGGAAGCAGCACAGGATGGCACAAAGCTTTAGGACCCTGCAAGCACAGGGGAGACCTGGAAGAAGCTCCTGTTTCCTGGCTCCTGGCTTTAGATCAGCTCATCTCTGGTCATTGTGGCCTCGTGGGGAGTGAACCAGTGGATGGAAGATCTTGTTCGCTCTTTCTCAGTAAATCAAATTTGCCTTTCTAATAAAAATAAATATTTCTTTTTAAAACTTACATGAAGGGCCCGGCGCGGTGGCGCAAGTGGCTAAGGTCCTCGCCTAGCACGCCCAGGATCCCATATGGACGCCAGTTCTATCCCGGCAGCCCCACTTCCCTTCCAGCTCCCTGCCTGTGGCCCGGGAAAGCAGTTGAGGATGGCCCAAAGCTCTGGGACCCTGCACCCGCGTGGGAGACCCAGAAGAGGCTCCTGGCTTCGGACCAGCATAGCATTGGCCGTTGCGTTCACTTGGGGAGTGAATCATCGGACGGAAGATCTTCCTCTCTGTCTCTCCTCTCTGTATATCTGCCTTTCCAGTAAAAAAAAATAATAATAATAAAAATAAATCTTAAAAAAAAAACTTACATGAAAAAGCAATAGAGAGAAGAAGAGACAGATCTGTCACCTACTATTTTGCTTCCCCAATGACCTCGGTACCCAGGCCTGGGTCAGACCAAAGCCAAAGCCAGGGACTCCACCTTGGTCTCTTGTATCGGTGCTGGGCCCCGATCTTGGTTCATGTTTAGCTGCCTTCCCTGGTACATGAAGCAGGAAGCTGGGTCAAAAGTGAAAGCAATCAGCACTCAAACAGCTCTGACGTGGGATGCCAGTCACTGACCCACATTGCTGATACCTGGCCCGTAACATTGCTGTGTCCACAGAAATGTTGGTTTCATTTTTGTTGATTTGCTCTAAAATAATGAAAGGTGTCTAGATCCTTGTCAGTGAAATTGCAATTCAAGCAACTCTTGAATAATCACTAGCTTCACAAAACCTTAAATTTCTTACAGAGATCAAACTTTAATGTATCAATTCATTTTTACTCTGTTTTCATTAGATATCTGCCAATTGGTAAGCGATCGCTATCAAAATTGTTGCCCGAAAAGCATGGTAGGTTTTACCATCAAGCCAACAGCAACGTTTGTGGATGAGGCCTGCTTTAAAAAAGAAGAAGAAGAAAAAAAAAACAAGAATCTTCTCTGTCTCTCCTCCTCTCTGTATATCTGACTTTGTAATAAAAATAAATAAATCTAAAAAAAAAAAAAAAAAAGCATCCCTGGGAGATTCCGATTACATCCCCAGCTCACTTCTTTTTCTCTGAACATTATGTCCCTGGTTCCAGTCTAAAGGGTTAGTGAGCAGCTCTGCCTTCCCTGGCACTTAGAAGCCTTTTATTATAGCTAGTGAGCAGTCAGGGGAAATGCCACCTTCTCGTTCTAATTTGTGTGTCCTTCATCAGCAGCGATGTTACGCATCTCTTCATGTGTCTTAAAGCCATTGGAGGTTTCATCAACAAATTATCTATTCAAATCTCTCATACATAGTTGTATTTTTGCATTGGGTTGCTTGTATTCTTTTTAAAGAATGTATTTAAAGATGTATTAAAGATGTATCTAAATACATCCTTCTTTTTAAAAGATAGATTTAATTTATTTGAAAGGCAGAGTTATATACAGAGAGAGAGAGAGGTTGGCTGTGTAATATTTCACACCCAAATGCTTGCAACAACGGGGGCTGGACCAGGTCAAAACCCACAGCCAGGAATCCACTTTGGGTCTCCCCCATGGATGACAGAGACCCAGCTGCTTGAGGAAGCCCCTGCTGCCCCCCAGGGTAGGCATTCGCAGGAAGCAGCAGCAGAGCCAGGATGAGAGCCCCCACACTCACCGGGGGGATGTGGCCCTGTGCAGACACCCACCCCTACGCTGTGGATTCTTAACATCACTCCCCTTTCTACGAAACATGCTTGTTGTTGCTATCGATTATTCAAGCTTTGTGATAATTACTGTACCTGAATCTAGCTGATAGACAACTGTGCCTCTCTCCTCTCCTACAATTTCTGGTACTTCTTCATTTCCTGTAGACTGATAGAAATATTCTGGGTAAGGTGGAACCCACTCTGAAAGGAGACAATTTAAAAAGCACAAAATAAGCAAGAAGGACATTCTCAGAACTTACATATACTAAATTAGAATAATTACTCAAGGGCTTGGCACAATGGCTCTGCTGGCTAATCCTCCACCTGTAAATGCTGGGATCCCATGCAAGCGACCAGCTGTGTGTTAGATGCTCCCCTTCCAATCCAGCTTTCTGCCTTATATTCTGGGGAAGCAGCAGACAATAACCCAACTCAGAAACCCAGAGGAAGCTCCCGGCTCCTGGCTTCAGATTGGCTCAGCTCCAGCCCTTGTGGCCACTTGGGGAGTGAACCAAAGGATGGAAGATCTTCCTCTCAGGCTCTGCTTTATTCTGGAAATGTGCCTTTCCAACAAATTAAATCTTAAAAAAAAAAAAAAAAAAAAACAAAAACCAATTAATCATGCTTCTTCCTTGAAAGACCATAATGAGATTTTTGGGGGGCAATTCTAACAAAAATAATAAGGTACTTGGTTAATGTTTCCTGGAAATTTTTTGAACATTGCATTAAAAAAAAAAAAAAAGATTTATTTGGGCCCAGTGCAGTGGCGCAGTGGCACAGTGATTAAGGTCCTCACCTTGCACGCCCAGGATCCCATATGGGTGCCGGTTCTATCCCGGCAGCCCCACTTCCCTTCCAGCTCCCTGCCTGTGGCCCAGGAAAGCAGTCGAGGACGGCCCAAGGATTTGGGACCCTGCACCTGCTTGGGAGACCCAGAAGAGGCTCCTGGCTTCGGACCAGCATAGCATCAGCCGTTGCGCTCATTTGGGGAGTGAATCATCGTACGGAAGATCTTCCTCTCTGTCTCTCCTCTCTGTATATCTGCCTTTCCAATAAAAAATAAAATAAATCTTAAAAAAAAAGATTTATTTATATTTTACTTGAAAGTCAGTTACAGAGAGGAGAGACAGAAAGCGAAGTCTTGCATATGCTTGTTCACTCCCCAGTGGTTGCTATGGCCAGAGCTAGGCCGGTCTGAAGCCAGGAGCTTCTTCTGGGTCTTCTGTAGGGGCGCAGGGTCCCAAGGACTTGAGCCATCCTCTGCTGCTGTCCTAGGTTGTTAGCAGAGGTTTGGAGCAGGAGTGGAACAGCTGGAACTGGAACCAGCACCACAGGGGAGGCTCCGTGCGCTACACCACAGCGCTGATCCTGAACATTGCATTTTCAAAGATCTTTTAGAAAGATGATGAGCTTCCACTGCAGTAACTTGGCTATTAAATTTCAACTTTTCATCTCTCCCTTCCTTTTAGAAATGAGCCCCAAATCTTCATAGGAGTTCTGCCTTGGTCTGATACACACAGTAAAATCCTAACATCAGGCGAGATCAAACGGAGCTTTTATCTAAAAATTGTACAGGGTAAGGACAGATGATCCTAGCCATGGTACCTGCCCCAACCCCAGCATCCCTGGAGCAGTGCTGCCCCCGCTGTGCAGTGAGCCTCTGCCTGGCTTTCAGCCTCATCTCTCGCCTTTCATGCTCAGTGTCCTCTGGCCACCTGCAAAGAACACACTGGGCTTTTCTCCTTTCCCTTCCCTTCCGTTCCCTTCCCTTCCGTTCCCTTCCCTTTCCCTTCCTTTCCTTTCCTTTCCCTCCCTTCTCTTTTAAAGATTTATTTCATTTTCATTGGAAGGGCAGATTTGCAGAGACAAAGATCTTCCATGCACTGGTTCACTCTCCAAGTGGCTATAAAGACTGGAGCCCAGCCAATCCAAAGCCTGGAGCTTCTTCCAGGTCTCCCATGCAGGTTCAGGGTCCCAAGGCCATAGGCCCTTTTGTACTGCTTTTCCAGGCCACAAGCATGGAGCCGGATAGGAAGTGGAGCACCTGGGATGTGAACTGGTGCCCATATGGGATCCTGGGGCTGCAAAGGCAAGGATTTAGCCATTGAGCCATCATGCTCATCATGCCCCTAGAACAGTTTTCTTTGACCTTCTCCTTTGGACTAGTTCTGACTCATCCGTCAGATCTCAGCTTATACTTCGTGGAAACTCATGTGGATCCCTCCCACTGGGTCCAGTGTTGCCAGAAGGACTAAACTCTAGGCAACTGCCTGGTAAAGAGTGTTTCACTTCCCTTCCAGTTTCTGAGCTCTGGGCATATCTCTGACTTGTTCACTACTGAATTTCTAGCACCACTGTACTTCACATATAACCAATGCTAATGCTTATTATTAAATGAATATTGCACAAGGGGAGTGAGAAGGAAATGTTCAATTGTGTATCTAAAGCAGAGACACAACGACAGATGGATCTACACGTCCGAGTAATTAGGGAAGTCTGGAAGCCAGCACTGCAGCATGGTGGGATACACCACTGTCTGCAATGTCGACACCCCATCCGGGCTCCTCCACTTCCGGGTTGGTGTCCTGGCTCCTCCACTTCCGGGTTGGTTTCCTGCTAATCAGCCTGGGGGGCCGTCAGAGGATGGCCTTAGTGCTTGGGCCCTTTACACTCAGGTCTGAAAACTGGAAGACGCTCCTGAATCCTGACCTAGGCCTGGCCAAGCCCTAGCCATGGTGGCCATTTGGACAGTGAGCCAGCAAATGGAAGGCATCTCTCTCTTTCTGTACTGAAGAAGGCTCACAGTTATGAACAATAATTTTAAAAGTCTCTACTCTTCCCCCTGCAAAAAAAAAAAACTCTAGTAAACTCAAATTACGGTTAAAACAGTAAAATTGATATTATGGCCTATATACAATGCTGATCAAAATACAACTCAGTCTATTAAAATTGAGATATTGCCATTCTAGAAAATAGACTTGAAAACTTAAATATTTCTATTTTTGTATTTCTTGGATTCTGGAAAAGTAGCCTGTGCCTCCCAAAGAACCCAGAAGCTTCTAGTTAATATTTTACTGTGTGCTCGCTTTGGCAGCACATATACTAAAATATAATAAAACTGGAACGATATATTACTGTAATTTACAAAAAAAAAATTTTTTTTAAACAATTCTCCTCTCACTTATGAGAGACAGAGTGAGACAGCCAGCTGCCTGCAGCGGTGGGTGCAGTGATCAATGCCAGGTGCCTCACGTGGGTGGCAGGCACCCAGCTGCTTGCACCATCACTGCCGTCCACTCCGCGCCTGCTTCAGTTGTCAGAAGTGGGATTTGAACCCTGACACTGGGATATGGGACCATGGCATCCGAACCGGCAGCAGAACTGCTCTAAGTCAAACCTGAAGTCCCTAGGGTGACTTTTCACTGTGGCCAGTGGACATCAGCATGTCAGAGTGGAATCTTTTTGGGGTGAGTTAACAGATGCCAGCTCCCAGCCGCCTTCCATGTCAGCAGCCGGGCCTGGGGGCAGGCAGACCGTCAGGCTCGGGGCACGTTACCAATGTGATGGATGTCTTCCTTAATGACCTCACATTCGATGGGCCATCGTGGCGCCTGCAGCGAACCCTGGCTGGAGAAGAAGGGGAAGAGTTCTCGGGGCTCCTGCAGCCGGGGGGTCATGTCATCCAGCTCATTGTAGATGAGCTGCCGGGTCCGGAGAAGCGGTGAGCTCAGCAAAAGGGAGCCTGGCAAAGCAAGGGGCACAGTGAGCAAACTCCTCCTCCCAGGCGACTTTTACTCATCATCTATAACAGATAAATAACTTAAAAAAAAAAGATGTATTTATTTTTATTGGAAAGACAAATCAGATTTATGGAAAAAAGATAGAAAGATCTTCTATCTGTTGGTTCACTCCTCAAATGGCTGCAAAGGCCAGAGCTGAGCTGGTCTAAAGCCAGGAGCCAGGAGCCTCCTCCATGTCTCCCATGCGGGTGCAGGGTCCCAAGGCCGTAGGCCATTTTGTACTGCTCTCCCAGGCCACAGGCAGGGAGCTGGATGGGAAGCAGAGCAGCTGGGACACAAACTGGCAAGGTGAGGATTTAGCTAGTGAGCCATCATGCTGGGTCCCCCGTGAAATAACTAAGCCTTGCACTAAGATATTAGCACAGACGTACAATCTGGTCACTGGTCTTTAAGATTCTGCTCAGGATGACAGATTCTAAACCATAAGATGTTAACTTCTGCACGTCATAGCAAACATTTAAGTAACAAACTTTAAAATATTTCAGACTAGGTTAAGTAAAAGTTTTTAAAAACAGACTGGTGTGTCCACAACATTTCAAGAATGAATGAAAATAAATAAAATCTTAACTTCCGTGTGCTTTACAAGTACAAATTTATACTTGATATTTTAGAAAAAAATGTGGGTTTGTTTTTAAAAGAAACAATACTTCATGGACTATAAAGAAACAATCTCACGTTTCAGATTCATTGGGGTTAGAAAGAAAAGAACCAAGAGGAGCTGAGGGGTGAGGTATTGGAAGCTGACGGCCCCGCAGCATGGCAGCCGGGCAGCCTGGGCTCGTCCAGGGGTGCTTAGCTCTGCTGCTGGCAGAGCAGGGCACAAGCAGCCCACAGTGGAGCTCGCCCCTTCCACGGGGAAGGGCGTCAGATAGCTCGGCTCGCAGCTTCGACCTGCGTGCGCCCAGGGCACGGCAAGCACTGGGGCCCCGGGGAGAGGAAGACAGACACCATTTCCGTCCAGGTTCGTTTCTCCACCCTCTGTGCCAGCTCCTTTCTCCCCATCCCTTCCCATCTCCCATTCCCACTGGGGGCCATTACTTAATACAGCTCCATCTTTTTATTTTTCCCATGATTTAAGGGGACTGGGTGGGAGAGATGACAAACATTTTGAAGACTGATACAGCTGCATAATTTTACTCATCCTTTAAATAAAAAAGTAGGTCAAACTGAAAATGCCAGTTTTTTTTGAGCTGCTGGACTGGAAAGACATGTTCTTACTCAGGCTGGCAAAGGTGTAAGTAAACACCTGTGGGCACCAGTAAGCTGGGACTTTTCCGGAAAGCTGTCTGGCAGTATCCAAGATTTACTGTGTACACACACGCACACACACACACACACACACACACACACACAGAATTGGCTAATCCTGCCCTCACAAGTGTAGGGACCCCGTACAGGCTCCAGTTTGTGTCCCAGCTGCTCCACATCCCATCCAGCTCCCTGCTTGTGGCCTGGGGAAATAGCGCAGGATGGCCCAAAGCCTTGGGACCCTGTACCTCCTTGGGAGACCCAGAGGAAGCTCCTGGTTCTTGGTTTCCATCTGGTCCCACTCTGGCCATTGTGGCCATTTAGAGAGTGAACCAGCAGGTAGAAAATCTTTCTCCCTCTCTTTATAAGTAACTTTTAGAATATATATAGCATTATTATATTTTACAGTTTTGAACAAATCATGTATGTATTCAAAGATTGTAAGTAGAACAGGACACAATCAGATTTGTGCATAAAGAACACGTGGGTCTAGCAGGAAAGCCTGGTAGTTAAATCCTTGCCTTGCATGCGCTGGGATCCTACATGGGCGCCGGTTTATATCCCGGCAGCCCAGCTTCCCATCCAGCTCCCTGCCTGTGGCCCAGGAAAGCAGTAGAGGACGGTCCAAAGCCTTGGGACCCTGCACCTATGTGGGAGACCCGGAAGAAGTTCCTGGCTCCTGGCTTTGGGTCAGCATAGCACTGGTCATTGTGGTCATTTGGGAAGTGAATCAGTGGACACAAGATCTTCCTCTCTGTCTCTCCTCCTCTCTGTATATCTGCCTTTCCAATAAAAATAAATAAATCTTAAAAAAATTTGATCTAAAAAAAAATAAATCTGGCTTTCCCAATATAAATAAGTAAATCTTTTTTTTTTTTTAATTCTTTCAGTTAAGCCAGCTGGAATTTATTTTCCTCTAAGGCAAAAAACTTGTGAAACATCAATGTGTTCCCTGGAGGAAGGAATTGTCACAATTTTTTCAGTCGCCTGGAGGAACACAGTCCCGAATGGAGGGTATTTTAACATGAACCCACAATACCAAGAAGACTCGGAAGCGAACGTGTTTGAGTGAAATAGGGCCGAGGCAGCTCCTTGGCCCCCCTCGCTGCCCTCCCCTCCCGACATCAGCTGAAGGGGCTGGCGGGGCAGTGAGGTTTTGGGGGAGGGTCACCGCACTGGTGAGCACTCACACAGAAGCTTCTCCTTTGGCAACGTGTCCGGCATCAGCAGGTCTCTTTCCCCCAAGGAGGCATTCAGCAGGTGCCGAGGGGGATGCTTCCAAGTGCGCTGACTCGTAGCCGGGTTCGCTAAACTGCCTCTTTGTCCTAACAACAGGTGGTTTGAGTTCAAGTTGCTGGCAGGCTAGACCAGTCCCCAAACCACTGCTTCCATCACCACCCCCCACCCAGAGATCCACACCAGGAATACAATCTATTCTTCAAAAAGCCCTCATGTTGAGTTAAACATAATTACGTCCGTGTTACACTGAGGAAACGAGAGCGTGAGGAGATGTGAGAAGCATCAGAATGGGTTTGGAGGAGAAAAACAGAAAAGGCCCTAGAAGCTACTGCAGCTGCTGGGACCAATCCAAGAAAATGCAAATATCAGAATGGGGGTGGACCAGCAGGTCACAGAGTGGAAATTCAGTTCTCTTTCGACAAATGAATAACCGTTTAGAAAATTAAGTACGTAGGAAAAGACTCCAACAAGTTTGCTAGAAAAAAAACTTAATTGTATATGCTAGCACAAACTTAGAAAATCAGAAATTAAAAACATAATAAACAAAAACGTGAAGCACTCTGAAAAGCATGTACACTTTTATTGGGAAATCTTAAACACGGAGAAACATACTATAGTCAAAGGGCAGGGAAGGCAGTATTACAAAATTACCACTTGTGGTGACCTTTAAGTCACAGGACAAATGCAATTTCAATGCATTTTTTAAAGATCACATATATTCTAAAGTGATTAGCATTCCTGAGTAGTTGAGAGAATTTTTTAATAAAGATTATTCTTCCCCAGTTGTAGGCACTGTCTAGGTTGCCTTGTAGTTAAGCAAGTGTTAAACTTCCGGTAGAAAAGCAGTCAGTAGCTGGTGGGCATTCTGGGCCTGGAGAATTTGTGTGAACTATACTACATGCCAGCATGCAAGCATAGTTTCTTTTTTTTAAGAGGGGAGGGCATGGCAGCGAACTCTATAAGCCAAGATATGGCACCCTACCCCACAGACAAGGGAGCTGCGGACTGCCTGGGGAAGTCTGTGCCTAAGTCCGGGGAAGTGGGCTACGCAGGCAGAGAGCAAGAGGCGATCTCCCACGGGCAGGGCATCCGAGGATGTACTGGCACGGGAGTGGCTGAGGGCATGTCTGACAGCGGAGGAATGATCTCTGAGCTCTGCAGCTCCCACTGGGGAGTACGAGAGCCAGAGCCAGGGGTTGGTCAGGCCAGGCAGGCTGCAGCACTTGCCAGCAGTTGTGTGGGTCGACAAGCCGAAGAGCCACAATGGGTGTGACACAGACCAAGCTAGGCTGCAGCACTTGCCAAGTCATGAGAGCCAGGTCTGGGCGCAGGCCAGGCTGGGCGAGGCTGCAGCACCCATCAGTGAGAGCTGGGATGGGTGTGGGCCCATGTCTCAAAACAATCAAGACCACTTGGGTAACACCCTCAGAACACTCTTCCCCACACCAGGGGTCCAAGGCAGCACCAAATGACCATCTCCCATCCTCAGGTGCTAATGCAGTTCAGTGTAGTTTGACAACAAGGAACAACCCTCTCACCCTCCTCTGTGGACACAGGAGGAAAAATAAACCAAATTAAACCTCTGTCCTACCCTCCTCATCCTGATCAGAGGCCATATGGGTATGCATCCATCTCAATTATATAAATAATATAAAAAATGATTATTTTTATTTGAAAGGCAGAGTTACAGCAAAGAGAGAAGGAAACACGGGGAGAGATCTTCCATCTGCTGTTTCACTTCCCAAATGACTGCAACAGCCAGAGCTGGGCCAGACCAAAGCCAGGAGCCAGGGGCTTCCTCCTGAACCTCCATGTTCTTCCAGAGCCATCCTCTACTGTTTTTGCAGGCCATTAGCAGGGAGCTGGACTGGGAAGTGGAACAGCTGGGATTAGAACCCATGCCCACATGGGATACTGGCATCACAGGTAGAGTAACTCACTAAGCCTGAGACTTTTTTTTTTAATTTATAAAAAAAAGAAGAGTTATCGAGAGAGTGAAAGAGTGAAAGATAAGAGAAAGACAAGGAATTTATCATCTGCCAGTTCACTCTCCAAATGGCTGCAACAGCCATGGCCAGAGCTGGACGAAGCCAAAGCCAGGAGCTTGGAACTATGCAGGTCTCAGGTCTCCTACGTGGGTTGGCACAGCCCCAAGCACTTGAGGCAGCTTTGACTTCTGCCAGCTTCCCAGGCGCGTTAGCAAAGAGCTGGACCGGAAGCAGAGCAGCCAGGACTCAAATCAGCGCTGATATGGCATTGCAGCTGGAGGTGTGACCTCAGTGCTGCCTTGCCAAGACACTTCCCAGAAGCAGGAGGACATGCTTTTCCAGATAGCAAGCCTGGACAGCAACTGAGGCGCCAGCACGTGGTGTCCTCTGATGGAGATGCCCACACTCTGCTGTGGCCCCAACTTCTCGCTAACACACAGCCTGGGAGGCAGCAGACAATGGCTCAAGTCCTGGGGGTCCCTGTCCCCCGCGTGCTTTGCACCCCTGGCTCGGGCTTGGTCCAGCACTGCCTGGACTATTAAAGGTATTTGGAAACGGACCCCTCTCTCTCCACTTGTTTGTCACTACTTTTCTGCCTTTCAAATAAAAATGAAGATTAATACATAGTTTGAAGAAACAAACAAACAAAAAAAAAGACCGAGAGGATGGTATTGACGCAAGGATCGATACAATACACCAATGGAGATTCCAGAAACAGGTCCTTGTATGAATCACCCAAAAAGAGGTGACTCTGCCAATCCACAGGGAATCTTCCACAGGTTTTTCACCAAGTGACTGGAACAATAATTGTTATATGAAAAGCACAACTCCTCCAGCTAACCAAACAGCTCACTGATGCCCAGAAAACTGAAATTTGAGAAGATAGGGTTACCTTTAAAATAGCCATAGTACTGGAGGTGATGAAACATAAAGTCTTCATAGGGATCGGCAAGAGCCTGTGAAAGAAAGGCCTCCTCAGTGCGCGAACTTGGCAGGTGCACATAGGGTCTTTGAGGGCTGCAATCAGGGAAGGAGCCTTCGCATCTGGCACCGCACTTCTGCGACTCGCCGCGAGAGGGCAGTGTACCAACCTCCTGCTTCAGCTCTGAGTCCAGTGCCGGGAACATGTCACTTTGGCATGGTCAGTGTCACCACATGCAGCCGCAACGCCTGCCCGATTTCCAACGGGCCGCCGACTACGCAGGAAAAGCTACAGAACCAGAACAGGACAAATGAAATCGCTGCAGACACAGCCTCCCACAGCTCCCAATGGGAAATCCTATCAACGGGTCACCGGGGCAGGAAGCCCACCCTGGTCAGCCGCTCGCGGGTCCCATGTTTTCCACCTGGCTCTGGACACCACCAGCGAGGGGGAAGCCATGGGGCTGGGGGACCATACGAGACAGTAGGGGCCAGGGGTCGGGAGAGCGGACCCTAGAGACCAAATTCAGAGGTTCAAAGCTGTCCCGCCTGCTGTGAGGGCACGGCTGGGGTTTTTCCTCAAGGGCCACCGAGGGGAAAGCAGGGATTTCCAGGGCGGGACAGTACCGGGCAGAGGAGGCGGCAGAGGGGCCGGGAGGAGGCTCTCCGATGCACCCGGCGCAGGCCTCGCTCGCCAGGCTCACTGGCCACCGCTTTCTGCGAGCGCTCGCGTAGCCTAGCAACAAGGGCGGGAAGCGGAAGGACGCTGGGGGGGCCGCGCTCCGCCTCCTGGGGCAGGGATGGGGGCTGGCGCACGAGCGGTGCTCCTGCTCGGGGTGAGAGGCCGGGTTAGTGTGTGAGCCAGACACAGGACCGGCTGGTGGCCACAGGGCCGGGAGTGGTCATTTCCAAGGCCGTTTGCTCCAGCTAACCCAGTCCTGCGCCTGCCGCCCTTGTTCTAGATTCTCTCCACTCGGCTAGCTGGGGGGGGGAAACAAAACTAGGAGGAAGCCTAGCGACCCCTCAAACTGGCAAACCGGAGGCACTCTGCAGCAATTCCTACAAGGCTGGCAACCGTCAGGAAGTTAACACAAATGAACTTTAAGTAGCTGGTAGCCTTTAATTTATTTGCAGAAATGTACTATTATGCAAATAACAATTTTATGTACAAAATTGGTAATCCCGATTTTAGCATAGTTGCAAATAAAATCCAATGCACTATCATACATGACACCGATTAGGTAGAAATGTAAACCATGGGTAGAAATATACTGGGATAAGTTCAGTTTCTTTGGTTAACCTTATATATGAGCAAGGCTGTATATATATAACTTTCATATTTGCCTATATTATAAAAAATCAATAAAGCACCTTTATTCTCAAAGTGTTAACCACATGACATCATTTCCAGCACATCAACAGGCACATGCGCTGCCATTGGAGGGTGCAGACAGCAGAGTGGGGGCCGGTTCTTGGATCCGGCTGCTTCCCTTTCCCCTTTCCTGTTCTTCAGTGTTCCCATCTGCCTCCCACATTTGACCAGAATAAAAGATTAAGTGCTGATTACATAATCATGGAGTAACAAGCTTAGAAGAGCCAAACGATAACCAATCAGAAGTATAAAAAACCACTTTATTAGCATGTGTGTGTATACTTATATATATATATATATATATATATATACAAATTTACATGGTCACAAACTGGAGAAATATAAACAGCCTTAAAACACAATTTGCCTTTTCTTCAGCTTAAAGTGATTTTTACCTGATTGTGATACAACAGAAAGTACAGAATATAAGCTGTTTAAATACTGGAATTGTGTGGAGAACACATCCACGCACACAGGGTGAGACAATGCAGACACATTAATACCCAGAGCGGCTCCTGGTACAATTCCTCGGCTGACTTGAGGGACGAATGCTCAAACATCAAGGACAGGGCTGGCGGCCGGTAATAACGGTTCCTGACAGCGGGAGGGAGATGCTGCCGGGGCCGCGGGTGGCGAGAGCTGGGCACCAGCAGCCAGAGCCGCACTTCAGGGAGCCGCCGTCAGGAAGGGGCTCTGCAGTCCTGAGCTGCCTTAATTGCACTTGTTTTGAAGCAGAAGTGAGCTCCATGAGCAGGAGGCTCCGGTGCTTTCTGCTGACGACGCCTCAAGGTGCCACACGTTTTCAGAGTGATGAGCTTGCCAGGCCCGACATGCATCGTTTTTCAGCACCAGGCCCGAATAATTCCAATAGCCTCTCCCTTCAGGGCAACAGAAAACTCACACTTCACAAATGTGAAAACATTATGTGCATATGCTCTTGCTCGGAAAATGCATATGCAAATGCATATGCTCGCCACCGCACATTTACAGTTCATCTGACAAGGGCAAAACTGGTTTTAAGACTGGGAAATGAATGTACATAGACAAAGTTTTTTTTCAAAAGTTTTAACTATGTATTTGGAGCCGTTTTCCTTCTCTTTAGTCTTGCTCGCCAGTCCTCAGGAAGGGCTTCAAAATTAGCATTCCTTTCTGCCATGCCACTGTAAAAACAAGAGACAGACTAAGTAATCTTAATTCCTGGAAAGGCAAAAATGAACAGGTTTATTATCTAGCCAATTAAGATGCTGAACGGAGCGGTGGCACACGCCATGCCTGGCTCCCGCCGTCCACGCAAGCGGGCAGCCCTGGGTTGAGTGCCTAGCTCCTGGCTTTGGCCGGCTCAGTCCAGACCTGCCGCTCCTGACATTTTAGAGTGAACCAGCAGATGAGAACTGGCTCATACTAAGTGAAATGGATCTATCAGGATTATGAAAACGTCCCAGAATTTTCAGCTCAATCACTAATGGATAAATTCTTTTAAAGTGGTTGGGCTCTGCGCCCCCACCCCCGACCCAGGAGCCAGACGCCAGGAACTTCATCTAGTCTCCCAAGTTAAGTGCAAAGTTCTTGGGCCATCCTCTGCTGCCTTCCTATGCCATTAGCAGGGATCTGGGAGGGAAGTGGAGCAGCCGGGACTAGAACCAGCACCCATACAGATGGAAGATTAGCCTATTAAGCCACTGTGCTAGCCTAGTTTTTTTATTATTATTATTATTTGAAAAGCAGAATTACAGAGAAAAATCTTCCATACGCTGATTCATTCCCAAGTGATTACAATGGCTGCAATGAGCCGATCTGAAGCCAGAAGCCGGAAGCTTCTTCTGGATCTCCCTCCTGAGTGCAGGGTCCTAAGGCCTGGGGCCATCCTCCATGGCTTTCCCAGGCTACCAGCAAGGAGCTGCATGGGAAGTGGAGAAGCCAGGACATGAACTCAGCCCAACTTTTTTCTCAAGTCAAAATCACAGAGGCAGGTGGCTGGAGGGACTGTGTTCCTTTATCTATGGGTTCACTCCCCCAAGTGGTTGAAGTGGCCCCCGAAGTGGAGCAGCCAGGACATGCACCTTTGCACTTCTGGGATACCAGCAATGCAGGAGGATGACTCAACCGCTGTGCCACAACCCTGGTTCCGAAGGCACCCACCACGACGCAGCCCAACTGTGACCTGTGCTTTACCTGACCAGCTGCTGCAGCTTCCACTCTTCGATGCGCTTCTGGGCGGTCGACTCCCGGTCCTCTTCACTGGAACTCGAGTTCTCCTCTTCATCTAACTCACGCTGGATACTCTGCCACTTCTTGACCAATGATGGCATTTTGGTTTTACTTTTCTTTGCCTGTAACAAATGTAGGCCAGAAAATAAAGAAATGAATTGTCTACACTACAGAGTAAGAACTTTTCCCTGGTTCTAAGAAGATACTTTAATTCAAAAGAATATTAACATAAAAAATAAATGCCACTGTAAGTGCTCATTAGAAATTTCTACCAATTGTCAATCAAAAAGCACTACCCAGGGCAGGCACTGTGGCAAAGTGTGTTAAGCCAGCCACTATTTGCAATGTCTGCACGCCACACGGAAGTGCCCAACACTGATTTCCTCTTCTGCCTCTGGTCCCGCCTCCTGCAGATGCGATAAGCTTCCGATGGGTAGCAGGCAAATTCTGTCTCTGCCACCCACAGGGAAGACCCAGGCTGAGGTCCCGTCTCCTGGTTTTGGCACAGCCTCAGTTGTGATGGGCCATTTGGAGAAGAAGTGAGTCAGAGCCCCTTCTACCTCTATGTTACTGAATCTCCATTACACAGGGGGTAAAGAAAAATGCTGGCCCCAGCCATCGACAACTGTCTGGGTTGATTGTACCTAGGCAAGCGTTACACTGCTGGGAAAAAAAAACAGCCAATAGCTGGAGGACATTCTGGGCTGTGTGCTGACTATAGAAGTGTGCCAACACTTGGGGGAGATGGTGGGCAAGCACCAACTGTGCTACCACAGGTGGATGGCAGGGTCACCCACTACCACCGCTGCCACCACACGTGTGTGAGGGAGCAGAGAAACTGCACCACTCTTCTTAGGGTCTGAAAACACAGCCCCGGACGGTCCAGAGCCTTGGGACCCTGCGCCCAAACGGGAGACCCGGAAGAAACTCCTAGCTGCTGGCTTCAGATTGGCTCAGCTCTCCCACTGGAGGGCACAAAAACCAGGACTGGGGCAGGGTGGCTAGACAGAAAGGCACCCAACAGCATGTGTGTGGGCTGGCTAGTCGGGCTCATTGGGTTGAACTAAGCTTCAATGTCCATTGACACGTATGAGAGCTGAATGGGATGTGGGACAGACTGTACTAGTCTTCTACACACACTGGCAAACCAGGATGGGGGCGGGCCTGGTGGGGGTTATTGTGGGTCGCTCCGACTAGGCTGAACCAGGCTGGACTGCAACACCCATTGGTTCCAGTGGAAGACAGGGCTGGAAACAGAACTGACCCAGCAACTGCAACCACCAGCTGATTGGGGCAATGGATTGTGCCGGGCCCTGTACTTGCAAGTACATGTAAGAATCTGGTCTGGGATCACCTCAAAGTTTCTTTGGGGATCTCCTCAATTGAACTGCAAGACTCAGAACCCTAACCATGAAAAAACAGGACAGAACAAGTCAATCAACCACCTCAGCCATATGATGGCAGTGAAAAATTAGGAAAACAGAGACTCTGAAATGGACTATGTCAATCAGTGGATTCTTCAACGACCTCATAGTGCTAGGAGTGGCAAGATTGGCAGCGATTCATAACTGGTGAACTATCAAACCCACTTGAACAAGTATCTCAGAGCATGCCCCACGTCCGGGACCTGGGGTGAATGAGGCTGGTTGGGGTTTCTCCCTTTATCTCCCCCTTTACCCCAGATACATGACAAAAGCAATGTGGAAATAATAGTCTTACGCATTTTCCTGTAGAACTTGAACCTTTTTGCCCTAATTTTAACTATGTAAAAGAATGTCAAAAATAAGGGGGAAAAAAAAGATTGGCTCAGCTCCGGCGGTTACAGCCACTTGGGGAGTGGACCAGCGGACAGATCTGTCTCTCCTCTCTGTAAATCTCACTTGACAATAAAAAATACATAAATCTTTTTTAAAAAAAAGTCTGTGGAATTCAAAACTCTCGCTCTTCTCTTGTCTGCTTAGAAGCAGTGTCAGGACTAGCATCGCCATAGCACAGCAGTCGGGGCTGGCACTGTGCCGCTGGAAGCCCAATCTCCACCTGCTGTCTCCGTGAGACCCACAGCAGTCCCCGGCTCCTGGCTTCACACTGGATCTGCTCCGGCCGTTGTGGCCAATAAATCTGACCTGCCTTTCCAATAAAGATAAATAAATCTTAAAGAGTCAAGTCACTAATAAGCTGTTACAAAGATGGAACGAGAGCAGTCATACCTTCTCTTTCTTTCCCTTTTTCGTCTTTTCAGGCGGTGGCACCTTGGGAGCTGGAGGAGGTGGTGGTGGCGTAGGAGGAGGTGGCGGCGGCGGCGGCGGAGGGGGCGGCGGCTCTATCAGGGCAGTGGTGGGTACGACAGCCCGGGCCTGAACGGACTGCAGTGAGGCAGCAGCCACTCCAAGAGGGACGGAACAGTCAGCGTAACTCATGATTGTAGGTGCTGCTGCCAGTCCAAGGTAATTTGACTGCAGGCTCATTCCCCTGGTGTGATGACCCATTCCTGCTGCGGCATGGCTAACTGAGAGTGCCTGGTGTCCAATTCCTGCGGCATGGTGTGCAACTCCTGCGGCCTGGTGAGCTAACAGAGAAAACATCAAATGGTATTATAACACGGACACTGTTACAATGAGAAGCTAGGAAAAAAGACCAAGAAATCAGATCGCCTAAAGGATTCCAACACATCTTTTCCTCAAAATACTCATACTGCTGCGAGCAGCCGCCATGAGACTGGCTCCCCGCTGGCAGGAGGTCTGGGGATGGGCTGGTGCAGGAATGGGTGACCTGGGTCCTCAGTGTCTTGGCAGGTGGAGTGAGCCTGGGGACTTGGTCAGGAGATCAATCAGGGAGAGGGTAAGGGGATATGTGGGAGTGAGGAATGACTTCTGAGGACTCTCATTACAAGGCCACTGTACTTGCAGGTGAGTGAGGGACAGAGTCGGAACAGTCTGGCGGGTGGAAACCCCAAGACATTTATGGGTCAGGCAGATGTACCATCCCGGGTCACAGATCTCAGCCGGGCAGTTACCATGAACACCAACTGACCACCACTCACTCATGCATGCTAAAGCTAGGGCTTGGGGCCTGCTGGGTAGGGCTAGATCCTAGCACCCGCCAGTGAGTTGAAACAGGGAATGGGTAATGTTAGGCTGGGCCATGACACTAACCAGCATGCATAAGTCAGGTCTGGAAGCCACTGGGACTGGTAGCAGACCAGGATAGGTCAGGCTGCACCATCCAATGGCAAAGGCCAAGATCTGCTTGGGGAGCTAAGGAAATGCCTCAACTGGGCAACTGGGCTGTGGTTCCTACCCACTAGCACAAGAGCCAAAATGGGGACAGCATTCTGGGCATGACCGTAGTGTCCCTCAGCAAGAGTGTGCCAGACTGGGCTGGACTCCAGCATCCACGGGTGCTTGTGAAGCCAGTGTGGATGTAAGATAGGCTGGCCTAGGTCTTCGCATTTGCAGAACTGTGTGAAAGCTATACCTGGGTATGGACTAGGTGTGGTTGGGCTGTTAACACCCAACAGTAAGAACAAGAACAGATGTGGGCCAGTTGGGCAAGGCCACTGTTCCTGCCAGCACAAAGGGTGGACTTGGACTAATTCAGTCTAAGTCAAGGATCCACTGGTGTGCACGAAATCTGCCACTGGGAGGAGACCTACTACGGGAGTGTGGGGAACTCCTCTGTCGGGATGCAGTCCCTGCAGGTGAGCGCAAGAAACAAGGCTGGGAGCAGCTCAAACCAGGCCAGGCATACATGTGGATCAGGTCTGGGAGTTGCCCATGCCAGGACAGTTCATAACACCCACAGGCAGACCTGAAAGCCAGGACAGACGTAAGGCATGCCAGGTCAGGTCACAACACTAGCCGGTTCACATTAGGGCTGGGATGTGGGGGCTGGCTGGGCTGGGCGATGGTACCCATCATCAGCTGGAACTGGAGGCAGGCCAGGCCAGGTCAGGTTACAGCACTCACCAGCAAATGCTGAGGTGAGGTGGGCCATGCCAGACTGGGCCACAGCACCCATCAGTGCATGTTGAGTCTGGGGGGCCGGGGAGAATCCCCTGCATCCTCTGGTGAGCATGAGAGCTGGAACCAGGGGCAGACCAGGCTGGGCAGGGCTAAAGCCAGGTTGAACTAACAGACTATATCCAGTGGGGCAGACATGAGCCAGAATAAATGCAAGTTGGCTGGGCTTTGCCACAGCACCAGCTAGCAAGTGCTGGGACAGGGGGCAAGTCCTCTCATGCAAGAGAGGACGATTTCAAGATCCAGGGCTGGGAATGAACCTAGTAGGGAAAATACGGGCACTCCTCTGATGGGCTGCACCTCCCACTGTGAGCATGAGAACCAGGGCTGGGAGCAGGCCTGTTTGGACAGGTGGTGGCACCCACTGGAGAGTGTGTGCTAGATAGTGGGGTTGGTTGGGCTGAGCTAGGTTCCAATGCCCACTGATGTGGATGACAGCATGCATACACACCTGCAAAAATGGGACGTGGGAAAGACAGGACCAGTCTGCTGCACATACTGGTAAGCACAGGAACCAGAGCTGGCACCAGGCCTGGTAGGGATTACTGGAGGTCGTTCTGACTAGGCTGCAGCTCCTGCTGGTATGTGTGAGTGTATGATGGGTAGGCTTGGGCTGGGCTGCAGCACACACTGGATTACGTAAGAGATGTGGATAACGAACCAAGCCAGACCCCATTCTGCGAAGCATACACAAGAATCAGATCTAGGATTATGTTAGATGAGGTTTCTTTGGGGATTGCCCCAAATGAACTGCTACACTCAAAAGGCCAACCACTGGGAGAATCACAGGATCTGTGGTCTGACCATGGAGTGCATGTCTCAGAGTTGGGCCTCCTCGGTGGCTCAGATGGAGCCATGGATGACATGCCCAGACACACATGGAGGATATGGCACTCCAGTGGGGCCTGCAGAGGACATCTGTACCATAGCAGGGGAAGAAAGACAGAACAAATTGGTCAACTAACCCAGCCAGGTGTTGCCAGCAAATATCTGAGCACTGGCGACTCCAAGGTGGAGTATATCAGCCAATGGACCTTGCAATGATTTCCTTATCCATGGATTAGCAAGACTGACAGCATTTCACAAGGATCAAAACCACCTGACCAGAACCGTTGGAGCAGGTCCCATAACAGGCACCCTGAGATGGCACTGGGTGACCATTCCCCAACCCTGGGTACTGGGGTGGCAAGGAGGCTGGCTGTGGCTTCTCCCCTAATTTCCCTTCTTTCCCCAGATACAGGAGGAAGAGGGGGAAGATTTGCAAAGGTCTCAATCACATACCCCTTGTCCTTGACCCTTGGGGAACAGGTGCTGGGTGCAGGTTAGGCCAACCTGTGGGATGCAAACATTGCATGTCAGAGTGCCTGACTTGAGATTCAATAACCCACTTTTGGTTGAGCTGTCAACAGGCTGAAAGTAGCAGGTGATGTTTTAAATCCTGGGGTTCCTGCCCTTCATGTATCTCTTCTCCTATAATTCTACACTTCAAATAAATGAACTTTAAAATAAATCACTGATGGACACAACTACACAACAATCTGCAAGAAAACGTGCCAATCAGAACAAGAATTTTTAGTGATTAATGCATAAACAGTCTCTATGGCCTTTGTCATATTTTTCATAGATGGCATCTAATGCTGGAGACGAGGAAGTAGTCGGCACAGACAGACAAGCACATGGACTCCCAACTTACCCGGGGCGACAGCTGATTGGCTGTAGAGGACAGGGGAACTGCCAATGGTTGCCGATCTCTGAACCACTGAAGTGCTCATTTCTGCAGCTTTTCTCTTGATCGCTTTAACGGAAGGAGAACTGGATAGAGTAGAATCAGCTGAGCTCTGCAATGCAGACATTTTGGTCAGTGGCTGAAGAGCCGTTTAACATGCAGTCAGTGATGTTCATGTGCCCATAATCATTCCCCAGGTCAAAGGACATTACTCACCTGGCTAGTGACAACTGTGGTTTGTGGTGAAGGTTTCAAAGGTGTGTCCTCCTCTGTTCCTGGGGCAGGAGGCTCCTCGCTCCCCTCATCCTCCATCTCCACCTCCTGGATCTCGCCATCTTCTGCGGGAGGAGGCGGTGGCGGAGGCGGGGGCGGGGAATCTGGAGGCGGGGGCGGGGGTGGGGGCATTTCCAAAGGTAACGGTGGCTGAAGCACAGGCACATCGGACTGAAGGAGGGTCCAGAACGGAGTAAGTGGCATGAGTGATGAAGAAGAAACTTGAGCAGAAAAGGATTCTTTGCAAAGGGAACCTATGAAGATAAACAGGAGTCAGGGAAAAACCAAGGGAAAAACGCCATGGCTTATATTCACAGAAATGCTGGCTCATCAATGAGACAAACAAACAGTGGAACTGGCTCCCTCTTCCCTGACAGAAAATCGACCCACAGGAACTTGGCCAGTGAAATATTAAAAGAACTCAGTTCAGAAATGACTTCCCATGGAAAGATAAATTCATGGCCTTCAGTTAGCACTTTCCTGAGCTACGCTGTCAGTCTTGTTCTTTGGGTCTGGATTTGGATGAGAAAATTAAGAGTGATGCACCAGCTTAATGAGAAATTCAGCTACAGTTTGGAATTTTCGTTCCTGTAGCTCCAGGCACTCCTCAGGGCCGAGTGCAGGGTGTGCACCTGCCACATTGATGTCACAGAGCTGCGTAATCGAACGCGGATGACTCAAAGGAGGACTCACTGCAAACACAAACAGGCTACCCATTTTGATCAGTCTGGGTTACCAGGTTAAAAGAAATTATTTCCAAGGTGCTATTGTTAACCGGATAATTTCTCCACACCATTGTGTAAATCACACTGATTTCGTAGAGCACAATACCACAACTTAGGCAGAATAATTTTTATCTTTGTGATGAGAAAAGGGAAATTTACGAGAATAAATCTTCAATTAAATCACATTTTTTTTTGAAAAGAAATATCAAGAGGCACAGCATCTGAAATTATTGTTACTTAACTCTGAGTTAAGAAAAATTGTAGCTGAAAAGCTGCTGGATTAGTTCCGCTGAAATCCTGCACAAGCCACCACTAGCTCCTGTCCGTTCTGGGACTAGCTCGTCAAGAGGAGAGAAAACAGGACATACTTACTTGTAGCCTTCCCCATCCCTCTTTATCGTCAATAGGGAAGTGTCACAAGACATGGGACTATTAGATACATAGCCCAGGAATGCTGAGGGGATTTTCTCCCTAAAAATCATAGAATTTAGGAGTAGAAGAAAAATGAGAAGTTATCTAGTTCAACCTTGTTTTAAAGGTAATGAAACCCAGGCAGGAACTGACATGCCCAAGATAATACAGCTGTTGGTGGCCAGGCCGAAGTGAAAGCTCAGGTCTGACACCTAGTCTCATCTCTTTCACTAAGATGTCCTAGTGAAAAATATCAGGGGTCCAGGAGCTTTAGAAACCTCAAGTCGGGGGAACAGTGCAATAGCGTAGTGGTTAAGGTCCTCGCCTTGCACAGGCCAGGATGCCATATGGGTGCCGGTTCTAATCCCAGCAACCCTGCTTCCCATCCAGCTCCCTGCTTGTGGCCTGGAAAATTAGTAAGGACGGCCCCAAGTCTTCGGACCCTGCACCCGCGTGGGAGACCCGGAAGAGCTCCTGGCTCCTGACTGGCTCAGCTCCAGCCGTTGTGACCGCTTAGGGAGTGAACCATCAGATGCAAGATCTTCCTCTCTGTCTCTTCTATTCTCTGTATATCCAGCTTTCCAATAAAAATAAATAAATCTTAAAAAAAAATAATAATAATCTCAAGTCGGATAATCACACTCCTTATGATGTAGATACCAGAAAATCACCTGTTAAGTTTCATGATCCAAAATGGTGGGTTATGTAAGGATTCAATTCTGAAAAGTTTGGGGGCAGGAGAAGGCCATGTATACTACTTTATTCAATATTCAAAATGTATCACATTGGCACTCAACAGGTAAATCAAAAGGAATCAGAATCCACGTGGCCTCCAGAGAAGCTTTCTTCTTCGGAACAGGTAGATGATAACGTAAAAATTTCAGAGACTTGTTCACATTGTCTCTGCAACTACTTGGACATGTAGTTTGCCACTAAGGAAAAGGGAACTGGGGAACGAATAACAAGCAAAAACATGAACAGCTTCCCAGCTAAGAGAATCCAAAGCCTAAGAAACCTTCCTATCTGAGGGGTGAGACTATGGCGCAGCAATGGACCCACACCTCCATCCGAGTGCCTGGGACTTGTGCCTCACTCTGCTCAGTTCAGCTCCCTCCCAGCTTCCTCCCGAGGCATACCCAGCAGGCAGCAGCTGACGGGCCACAGTGTGTCCAGTGTGTCCCTGCCACCCGTCCGAGTGGCTGGATGGAGCTCCAGGCTCCTGGCTGCAGCCTGACCGAGCCTGGGCTCCACAGGCCTTTGCGAACAGCATCACACAGAGGATCTCTGCCTGCCCACCTGGCCAGAACACTAACACATGTACCAACACACGCACCAGCTTGCCGACACCACTGGCGAAGGTAAAGGTCATAACCAGAGAAATTTAATGACTCATTAAACTTTCTGCAAAATTGATTATAGTGTACACTAGGGCAATAAATATCAAACTGATACTGGAAGGTTTTTCACTAAAAACAGAATGCAATACCAATATTTATCCTGGCTGTAAGCAGAAATGCAGAGAAATTCAAAGGAAAGTAGTTGATTCGATATCAACGTAAACTGCATAACACCAAGCATAGCTATCAAGAATAAGTGAACATTGGGTAAACTCGAACTATACTACAGGGGTGTCAGGACTGTGGAACAGTAGGCTAAGCCACTGGGGTCCCCACAGACACACTGGGGACATCTTGTATTTGAATGCCGGTTCAAGTCTCGGCTGCTCTGCTTCAGATACCGTTTCCAGCTCCTTGCAAATGAGATGGCAGTGGGAGAAGGCAAATGGAGGATGGAAGAACTTGGTTCCTGCCATCTGTGTGGGAAACCAGAAAAAAATCCTGGATCCTTGGCTTCAAACTGGCTGGTGCAAGCTCGGGAGTGAATCAGGGAATAGAAAATCTGTTATCCCTCTACCTTTCAAATTAAAAAAACAAAAAGCTCAAACAACTACTAGATAAATTTAACCAAAAATGGAGAACGTTTTAAATCAATATTTGAATCCCAATGTAAGTTTACTCAGTCTCAACATTGCTCCTTTAGTTCAAGCACAAAGAATCCCGAATTGTAATATAAATGACATTTACTAATGTAACTTTTTGTTATTTAAGACTACATCTGTTGGGCCCGGTGGTGTGGCCTAGCGGCTAAAGTCCTCGCCTTGAACACGAAGGGATCCCATATGCCCGTTGGTTCTAATCCCAGCAGTGCTGCTTTCCATCCAGCTCCCTGCTCGAGACCTGGGAAAGCAGGACAGCCCAAAGCCTTGGGACCCTGCAGTCATGAAGGAGACCTGGAAGAGGCTCCTGGCTCCTGGCTTCGGCTTAGCTCAGTTTCAGCCATTGCAGACACCTGGGGAGTGAATCAGCGGATGGAAGCTCTTTCTCTCTCTGTGTTATGTCTGACTTGTAATAAAAATAAAACAAGAAATTAAAAAAAAAAAAAAAAAAAGATGGCCCAAGCATTTGGTCCCAGCCATCAATGTGGAAGATCTTTAAGCAGTTCCTGGCTCCTAACCTCAGCCTGACCCACAGCAACTCTGGTGAACGAAAGAGCCAAAGTCCTCTCTCTCTCTCTAGCCCTTCCACTCTGTATATATACCTTTCCAATAAAAAAATAAATAAATCTTTTAAAAAAGAAAAGTCCAAGAAGACATTAAAATTTCATATTGTTTTAATTTTAAGTTGTACCAAACAAAAGCTTTCCCAGACTACAGTGAGGTGTGGGAGTGAAGGCACCACCTGTCATACTGACGTGATGTTGAGGCGCTGCCTTCATTCCTGGCTGCTCTGTTTCTGACTCACATGGCAATGAAGCTGAAATGGCCCACGTGCTTAGGTCCCCGACACGTGGAGACCAAGCAGCAGCTCTGGGCTCCTGACGTTGGCCTAGCACAGCTGTGGCCTTAGTGGCCTTTTGGGGAGCGAACTGGTAGATAACAGACTGATCTACCGATTGTTCTTTGTCTCTTCCTCCAATTCTACCTTTCAAATAAACTACAAATTAAGAAAATCTTTGAAAATTAAATCAAACAAAAAGACTACACGCTTAAACAGCGTGGATACACATTTTTTAATTCTCTAAAAATCTTTTCTTCCCTACATTTGAAAAAAAATATTTATCTACTTTTATTGCAAAGGCCCTACACTTGGATTTTTAATCATTTACTGCTGGGACTCTCAATGAAGAGTTTAAGAATACAAGCTGGTTTATCAGTGCCTTTCTTTCAACTATGTGCATCTTCAGCATTGCGAGAAAACTGCTTAATAACTGACTCCTCAGTGTTCCAAGAGCATTTAACGGCTGGTAACTGCTGAAAAACTGAAATATCTAACAAAATGACACAGTGGAGGCTGGTTGCCATGTCATAGCACGTTAAGGCACTGCCTGTGGTGCTGGCATTCCAATGGGCAGTTTGAGTTCCACCTGCTCATAAATAATGTGATGGGAACGCAGTGAAAGGGCGTCCAAGCCCCTGGCTCCTGCACTGCGCTGCAACATCCTGGCTTCGCACAGGCCCAGAGCTGGAACTTCTGGCCCCTGGGGGAGAGGCACAGCTGGCGTAAGACCCCTGAGTCTCTCCTTTTCTCTCTCTGTAATGCTGCATTTCAAATAAAAATAAAGAAATCTTTATAATGGGGATGGGACATAGTGTGACAGGAGTGCAATCATCTATTTCAAACTACTATCAACTCTCTTCAGCCCATTGGCTGCTAAATGGATTGTTAGTTACGTCTGATTGTATTGTCACCCGGAGAGGGAGGAGAGCATTCAAAGGAAAACTCCTCTACGGGCCTAACGGGCCAATCCTGCAAGCACCAATATCCCATACGGGTGCTGCCAGATCATGTCTTGCCTGCTCTCTGCTTGTGTTCTGGAAAAGGAGCAGAGGATCGCCCAAAGCCTTGGGACCCTGCACTCGCATGGGAGATCTGCAAGAAGCTACGGCTTCCTGGCTTTGGACTGGCTCGGCTCTGGCTATTGCAGCCATATGGGGAGTGAACCAGCAGATGGAAGATCTTTCACTATCTTTCCTTCTCTTGGGAAATCTGTCTTTCCAACATAAATAAATCTGTAAAAAAAGAATGAGAATTACAGCAAACCTACCCTTCCACCACTATATTCTAAATTCTTCACTGCAGGCGCACATGCCTTTTATTTTAATAACCTAATTATAATTCCTAGACTGTTATAACAAATAGTGCCATATGGTTCTTTGTTTCATTTGGTTGTCTCGTTGTCTAGTGGGATCCAGGTCTATTTCTGAAGGTACCCGCATCATTTTGATAGCCACCCAGCTCTTTACTTGCTACATCATCAATGACGTATTTATTTTCAAGGTCTGTTATTTCACTGAACTTTCCATACTCTTGCCTTCATGTCGCCACTTTAGCAGGTTGCTCATCAAAAGGCAATTTTGACTATGTTTCATTATTCACTTGTTTGCAATTATAGCAAAAATGAACTTAAAGTACTATAGGGTGCAATCAAGTTACGGCTCTTCTGAAAAGCTAGCCATCAGATCAATCTCAGAGTGACTGAGGAGCTCTGAAAGCCTGTTTCCTTATAAAAATGTGCATGTAACTGAACTGAATTTCTCTAAAAAAACAGTATCTTACATGGGATAAATCATCTTATTTCTGATTGTCTACATAAGGATGTTGACAATTTTCAAGACAAACTACTGTTTATTAGTGTTAGCTTTATAACATTTCTTTGTTTTATTTTCATTTGTATCAACCATACTTCTTATAACACTATGTGGAACTGAGAGATGAGTGAATTACCAACTGACCAGGCACAGGCCTTGTTCTAGCTCCTGGCTAGGATGCCCACACCCGTCTGGGGTGCCTCAGTTAACTGCCTGGCTCTAGCTCCCGATTCTAGCCTCCTGTGAACGCAGGCCTTGGGAGTCAGCAGTGAGGGCTTCCGTGGTTGGGTTTCCGCTGGCCGCAAGGGCCACCTGCAATGAGCTTCTAGCTCCCAACCTGGCCCATCTAAGGCAGTTCATCAGTAGTCGGGAGCATGTGTGTTCTAATAAATGCATTTCTGCAAAAGTGTTTTTAAAAATGAATAGTCCAAACATGCTCCAAAGTGGAAAAATTTCATCAAATCACATGGATATTAACAATTATCCTATTATCATAGTTAATTAGCTTTCCTGTTTTTGGAGATTCACAGGTTTGACTTTAGCATGACAGTCGGTCACAGGACACCCTTGTTTTTTTTCCTTTTCTTCTTACTGTTACAGCAAGGATCACTAGCCAATCACACAGTCATCGAACCAGAGACCTCGTGGTGTTAGAGAAAAGCCTGCCACTCAAGTAGCACACCATCTACAACTGTGAGCTCATTGGCCAATCAGCAGCTTCAACTCCGAGCTCTCACTACGTGTACAGAAGAACCCTTCAATACTAAAATATGCTGCTTCTCCTTTTTGTGGTTTTTTATTTCTTCGAAGATCTGTGTATTTGAGAAGCAGAGTTACAGAGAAGTGACACAGATTTTCCATTCAGTGGTTCACTCTTCAGATGGCTGCAGTGGGTAAGGCTGTGCCAGGCTGAGGCCAGGAGCTGGGAGCCTCCTCTGGGAGGGATGGACGGATGGAGGGACACACACACACGCTTCAGGGACCTGGCCATCCTCCCCTACTTTCCCAGGCACATTAACAGAATGCTGCACTAGACGTGGAGCAGCAGGGACTGCACGCAGCAGCTTTAACTGCTACACCTTATGTCGGCCCTATCTGTTCACTTTTCAACCAGACTGATATATCAATAAACAACATAGCTGTCAATCACTATCTTAGCATAATTCATAATTCTTTTAGTTCAGCCCACCTTTTCAGGTATAAGCTTATAGAGTATTACACAAACATCTTTTTGTCCCCTTAGTTCAGGGTAAATGTTCCCACCTGTAGCATTCTCAGTAGATTCTGTAGAATTTGAATCCGTGCTGGTTTTGTCTTTCAAGGTCTGTTTAGCAAGTGTCTCTTCTCTATTTTCTTGGGCTTGGCTTTCTTCCTCCTCTTCCTCACCATCTGGGAACTCCCACTGAGATTCGCCCGACTGTTCGTTTACATAGAAATATCGTCTATGATCCCTAAATTACAAGAAAGAAAACACACGTTTTAAAAGCCCATTCTCCAACAGAGACACTTGTAATTTGGTCCAGTCCCAGGACAGCAGACTGCTCTCCCAGGGACGAACCTCTTCTTACGGACTGCTATTCACAAAGGCAACAAAGAGCTTTGACAATTGACAATGGAGAACCAAGGATAATTCAAAGCTATTTGCACTGCCAGCAACTCTGTGAATACAGCCCTAAGCCCTCTCACTCCAACACTTAGAAACAGCCTTGTCTTTTTTGTCTGTTTGCTTTTTGGCCAATGTGAAACAAGGTTTGAGGTTTTGTTAATGAAGGGATTCAATCGCCTAGAACACTAATTTCCCTTCCAAAGAAGAGAACAACGATGATTGTGAAAGTTGACTCTTCCCCTCTTGGACCGTAGAATTCACATTTCATATTCTTGGTATCAAACACAGTGAAAGCTAAAGAGAGGGAGAGGATCTGGGAGCTGAAAAATAAAAGAGCAAAGATTTCAAATAACGAAAAAAAAATCAAGAAAAGCCAAATATAAAAAGAAATGTTTTAATCTGACCTGCTGGCAGAAGATAGTAATCCTGTTCTTCAATTCACATCTTCAGCCACGAAGTTTTCCTTAACTTCACCGAGGTTAATCAGGAGTAGTTGCTTCCAGAGGTCCTGTAAAGCGCACAGAGCTCTCGCATGCGCTTAACCCCCAAGCCCGCCCTACTCCGTGCAACACTCTGGAGAGTAAAAACCGGCTTTGTCCAATCTTGGGAAAAAATCCGTTACATGGAACACTGTAAACATTGCTTTTGTTTCTCCACTGGGTGGCTGGCCCAAGCTCTGTGCTCGCGGTGCTTTGCCTGCCAGCACCGCTAAGTGCAGTTGCTCTCAGTCTCCAGGCAGGCTGGCATTGTCCTCAGGTGGTGGTGATCACAAATCATGTCTGAGATGTCAAAGGTGAAAGGTGAAAAGGGGAGAAGAGTGCGTACCTGTCCCAGTGGCAGGACCAGCCTTTAGGAGTGGCGTTTATTTCATACTGTTTTAGTTGCTCTGCTGCATCCTGGAGTTTTCGTTTAAGGTAGATTCCATTAAGAGCTCCTTCTCGCCAGTCTGCAATTCGAGTCTACAATCAAGGAGGCAAACGAGTTAGAATCACTCTGTTAGACAACAGAAGTCAAAGGGACTGAAGTTTTATTAGTCAGTATCATATTTTTGAGATGTAATCTGGCCAAAGGGGAGCCAAAGAGAAAAATCCCATCACAGTCCACAGAAAAAACTTTCCCTGCAGAGCTCTGAAGTGAGGCTGGCCTGCAGTGGCGTTTGCATTCTGCTAACCCTCAAGTACCGGAGAAGGTAAAGATGTCTGCCCTGTGGACTTGGTTAAACCTGGCTCTCCAGGCATTTTTACCGGTTACTTTTGGAAAGGGAAGGGCAACTGGTCTAACCAATTCAGTACTTTTAGGATACAAACTGAAAGGTTCGTTAGTAAAGCAAATCAGCAGATCCCTACAGAAGTTGTTCACCCGTCATTTCATAAAATAAACAGTTCACAAATCAGACTCAAAAAAATCTCTCTGTAACTATGCCTTTCAAATAAATAAATCTCAAAAAGAAAATGAAAACAGATTCCTGTTACACACAGCATTTCATTCAAACCCAGGCTTCTCATATTTTAAAAAATTGGATAATTACCTCAGTCTGTAATAGCAGAACATGAAAGTTGGAGATGGACTGTCTATTAATGCCTAAGAACTCAAATTTACTCATCAGGGTATTTGCCAGTTCTCCAATCTGAAACTATAATGCAGGAAAGGAAAAAAAAAAAAGAGAGAAACAGTCAACAATATCATCTGTATCATATAAATTTCATTTAATGTTACACAAGCTAGAAATATGAATCTGCCTATTGACAGCTTTCTTCAAATAGCTACAAAGATGCAATCAGCAGGTGGCATCTGGCCACCTTACATAGTTAAGGTACCTTGTGAGATGCTCACCTGCCCTACTGCTGTGTCTGAGTTTGCAGCCTTGTTTCCATTTTTAACACATACCACTGTTAATACATACTTAAGTATGTGATTCGGGTTACCACAAAGATTCAGGATGCACTGCTGATTAGCAGACTGACCTTGGCCTTAGCCACCTATCGTAAGCACTTGGCGAGAGAAGCAGCATGACAGAAGCACTCTTATCTTCTGTGTGTGCAACTGTTTGCTTTTCTGTATCATCACGCCGTTCAATTAAGTTTTAAAAATTAAGGCAGCGTGGCACAGTGGGTTAAGTGGCAGCCCATAACAACACTGGTTCAAGTCCTGCCTGCTTCACTTCCGGTCCAGTTCCTTGTTAATGTGACTGGGAACCAGTGAAATATGTCACAGGTGTTGGGCTTCTGCACCCAAGTGGGAGACCCAAATGAAACTCCTGGCTTCAGTGTGGCCCTGGCTGTAGGGGCTGAACTAAACTAAAAGATCACTCTCCCTCTGTCTTTCAAAAAAAAAATAAAAGTGAAATACAACAGGCAGTCTGAAATTCAAACACAGACCTAGCCACAGCATCATAATGCTTTCTAGTACAATAAGGCATCCAACACATTGTAATCTTAGTAAAAAAAAAATCATATGAGGGGGCTGGCATGGCACTGTAGCAAGCTGACTGCTTGTGGATATCTTCCACTCGTGCCAGCATCTCATGAGCACAGCTGAGTCCCGGCTGCTCCACGTCTGATCCCTGCTAATGGCCTGGGAAAACAAAGGAGCAGGGCCCAAGCCCTTGAGGCCGTGCACCCGCATGGGAATCCTAGAAGAACTTCCTGGCTTTGGCCTCTTACTGGACTAATTCTGGATGTTGTGGCCATTTGAAGAGTAAACCAGCAGATGGCATATCTTTTGATTCTGTCTTCATAATTCTGACTTCAAATAAATTATTCCTTGGGGGCTGAACAAACTAGCTACAAGACCAATCAATCATCTACCTGCAATGCCAGGATCCCACAGAGGTTCCAGTTCACATCCTAGCTGCTTCACTTCCAATCTAGCTCTCTACTTATGACCTGGGAAAGCGGTGGAAAAGGCTCAAGAATTTCCTGGATTCAGCCAGGCCCACGCCCAGTTAATGCAGTCTTCCTGGGAGCGAACCACTGGATGAGACACATGTCTGTCTCTCCCCTTCAAACAGTTCTTTTTAGGGAAGTTTCTTTTGTGCTTCCAGCTGAAAAAGCCAAAGCTGATAAGCTATTTCTTTCCAATGGAGTATTAACTTGAAAGTCAACAAGTAGCTAGAATCTACTTTCAGATACTTTTTAGCATCAAGTTTTAAAAATGATCATTTTGGAGCAGCTACTGTGCTGCTGCGGGTATACCACTACAGTGCCTGCAAACCATAGGTACTGCTTTAAGATCCAGCTGCTCCTCTTCCAAAACAGTTCCTGCTAATGCTCCTGGAGAAGAGGGGGGATGGCCTGAGAGCTTGGGATCCTGCACCCACACGGGAGACAGCGCTCCGGACCAGCCCAGTTCTGGCCATTACAGCCACTGCTACACATTAATGTCAAGCACTTTAATACTAACCTTTTAAAAAATATTTTTTAAATTCCACTGAGTAATCTATTATACATACCTTCAAATCTTGTTCTTCCTCTACTTTAGGTGCTGTCTGTACTTTCATCTTCTCTGAAGATTCTTCTATTTCCATCTCTTTGTCTGAATTCTCATCTATTTTTTCTGAATTTTCAGCACCAAGTGCTGCAAAATAAAACATGAAATTAAATCAAAGAACCAATAAAATTATAGCTCCATACAGTTTGTTTTCTGTAGATCTCTAAAAACATTAAACTGACAATTTATCTTCATAAATCCAAAAATATTTTATAAATGCATTTAAAAACTGTCTAGGAGCCAGAGCGTTGGCTCAATCGGCTAATTCTCCACATCTAAGCCCCGAGGTCCCATGTGGAACCTGGCTCGTGCCCCAGCTGCTGTGGTTCCCATGCAGCTCTCTGGCTGCAGCCTGGGAAAGCAACAGAAGATGGCCTAAAATGAAACCCTGCCCCTTCCTGGGGAACCTGGAAGAAGCTCCTGGTTTCCCAGGTCAGCTCAGCTCCAGCCTCTGCAGCCATTCGGGAAGTTAAAATTAAAATTTACAAAAATCTTCTTATTGTATTCAACTAATGCTTAGAATTATTAAATCCTACTGGTCATTTTTTCCCTCTACGGTATTGAGGCCAAATGGAAATTAAAATTTTAGCTTTGTTCAGAGATCTCTGGTAACATACTGGAAAAGGGAGGAAGGAAGACCTCTTCCGCCTTCCTTCAGAAGACATGCCTTGAGCCTTGATGACAACAGCAACTAGTTGTCCACAGAGGCTGGGCAACTTGTACAAAAAGAGCAGAAATGAAACCTGGTTTACCAGAGATGGTAATCCCTGTCCCTCCTTGCTTAACTGTAAATAGTAAGCAAAGGAGATGGCATGGGCCCTACGATGGCCAAGGAAATGCTTATGGCAAACAACAAAGAAAGGAAGAAAACTGATTTTGCTCTCTGCTTTTTAAGGAGACCTAACAGCCACACAGCTGTGCGTGAATGAGCCATGAAGCGCAGTCTGTCAGGCTCCTGTCATTCTGTCTGATAGAGGAACAGCAACAGAAGGCAGCGTGAACCGATGCCCCTCGGCACTTCCATAAAAGCATCAAAAGGCGGGCCCGGTGCGGTGGCGCAAGTGGTTAAGGTCCTCGCCTTGCACGCCCGGGATCCCATATGGGCTCCGGTTCTAATCCCGGCAGCCCCGCTTCCCTTCCAGCTCCCTGCCTGTGGCCCAGGAAAGCAGTCGAGGATGGCCCAAAGCTTTGGGACCCTGCACCCGCGTGGGAGACCCTGAAGAGGCTCCTGGCTTCGGCATAGCATCGGCCGTTGCGGCTCACTTGGGGAGTGAATCATCGGACGGAAGATCTTCCTCTCTGTCTCTCCTCTCTGTATATCCGCCTTTCCAATAAACAAAATAATAAAAATAAATCTTAAAAAAAAAAAAAAGCATCTAAAGGCTAGCTTCCCTCTTGTTGCTGAAGAAATACACAAAGGAAACATGTCTTCCCTTCTCTTCTTTCAAGTTTAAAATTTATTGACATTCAAATTACCAGTTTCTCCATTTTCAGGAGTCTCTCGTCCAGTTTTGCTAGAGCTCCGGCTTGTGGATTCGGGACTGGAAGCTCGAACGAACATCTTCCACTTTCCTCTCTTAGACATAAGTCTACGCATGCCATCTTGAGATGCAGGCTGGCTGATATCAGAACGGGGACTAGACCCTGATACACTTCCATCTCCTTCCTCCAAGGCTCGCAACTCGGCCTAGAAAGAATGTGACATCAAATTAGAATCTAAGTAAATGCTCGTCAACATTTAAGCACTTCTGAGCTGCAAGAATAGCCATACCTCACCTGCAAGCAACTGCCCAGGTTACACTACCGGGAGAACAGCAGCTAATAACTGGTGGGCATTCTGGGCCTGGTTAATGTCAAATTTGTGCCAACCATAACAAGGTGGCAGCCTAGTCACCTTTTTTTGTCCCCAAAAGATATGGGGTGGGGGACTGAGTGCAAGCATGCCAGCAGACAGGGTCTAGACCACTGGACTCAAAACTCCACCTACAGGGACAATTTCAGGATTGGTGGCCCGACAGCAGGCTGCATGTGTCAAAACTGGCCTCCTCGGGGGCTGAAGCCTGAGCAGCAGCCAGCATGCGCAGATGCACATGGGCACTATGACAATCGGTTCACTGAGGCCTGCAGAACGTAAAGCATCATGGAGGGCAGAACAAGCTTTGACAGCGAGCATCCGGGCGAGTAGAGAATACGTCAGCCAACGGACTTTGCAAGGATTTCCTCAGCTTTGGAGCAACCAAATAGAAGCATCTCAGAACTCGCTAAAAACCATGAGAGTTCCCTCAGAACATGCTCCACACTGGGACCCCTGGGACGATATGAATGGCTGTCACCCAGGGCAGTGATGCAGCTGGGTTGCCGGGAATGGCCTTCTCTCCTTCTCTCCCCATTTTCCCCAGAAACATGAAGGAAAGGGAAAAAAAAAAGATTGGAGATAGCTGTCTCTCACTCACTTTCCTCCATTCCTTGACTGTCACTACCCTACTCAGTGAGCCACATGGGCATGTACCCTTAACGATGTAACATCATCAAGAATATATCATAAAAAGATTATAAAAATACACAAAAATATACAACAGTCATGACAACGTTCTTAGATTTAAAATCTTTTAGAATAGAAAGCATGTAATACATTTTAAAAATCCTTTCAGAGTATTATGCTCGATGTTCCATCCTCTAATTGCTACTGAATTTAAGTACATATTGATAATTACACAAAATGTGAAGCAGATCATTTTTAGAAATTTCCAAAACTAGGGGAAGGTGTGGTGCCATAGGAGGTAAGGCCACCACCCAGGGTTGAGTCCCTCTGCTTCACTTTCAATCCAGCTCCCAGCACGAGATGGCTCAAGTGTCTGGACACCTGCCACCCACATGGAAGGCCTGGCCAACCAGCATGGAGTTTCAGGCTCCTGGTTTTGACATGGCCCAGCCAACCACTGAGGTCTTTAGAGGAGTGACACAGCTCCAAGATCTCTCTCCCTTCTCCTTTAACTGTTGAAAAGAAAAAGAAATTTCCAGGGGGCTCGGCACAGTAGCCTTGTGACTAAAGTCCTTACCATGCATGTGCCGAGATCACACATGAGCACCAGCTCACATCCCAGCTGCTCCACTTCCCTTCCAGACTGTGGAAAAGTAGTCGAGGAAGGTCCAAAGCCTTGGGACCTTACACACACACACACGGGAAACCTGGGAGAAGCACTTGGCTCCTGATTGGCTGGGCTCCAACCAATGCAGTCACTTGGAGAGTGAACCAGAGGGTAGAAGATCTTTGCCTTTGCCTCTGCCTCTGCTCTCTGTAACCCTGACTTTCCAACAAAATTAAACAAATCTTATATATAAATACACACACATATTTAATATATATATCTCCAAAGGAAAAAAGAGCAACAAAATCCATGGTCGTAATTTGAACAGAATGATCATCAAGAATGACACATTGAAGGAAGAAAATATCCTTCAACTATCACACACTTACCTTTTTCCTTTCCAAAACCAGCTCCAGCTCCAGGGTGTCCTGCTCCTCGTCCTCCTCGCTCTCTCCGGACTGCACCACGCTGCAGAGGCCCTCCTGCGAAGCGTCTTCTATACTGTCCAACACACTGTCCTGCGGCTTCACCACGGCGGCTCCCTCTTCTACGGCGGCACTCGATTCTTTTGCTTCTGATATAGGCTCGACTTCTTTACAAATTACTTTTCTTCTCCATCTCTCTTCTTCTTCTTTTATTCCTTCAGGCAATAAGGGAGCGAGGAGCGAGGCTGCCACACCTTTCTTCTCCTCCTCATTATTTGACAAAGCCTGAATTCCTTCATTCACCTCCTATAAAGAAAAAAATAATGCAGTCTTAGTTCTCAAACAAATCTCAATTGGTAAGAACTATATTTTCTATCGCTGGATGCTCCTAAGCACCATGCACTCCCACCACGCTAATACGCATGTCTCTGTGTGTGCGTGCGTTTGTACCATTACGCATACAAAGTGGAAAAGCCCGTTCATTTAGAAAGGCAGTAATGAACCAGAGGTTAGTTGTGAATGGAACTTAAACACATCCTTCCCTTGTTCTTAGCGTATCAAGACTGACCAGCAGTAGGATGCAGGAGCAAGCTGAAAATTAGATCTGTATTCTGTCAATATCTGACTGATAATAAACCTCCAACTTGCTTTTTTTTTCTTATGATGAAAAACCGTCACAAATATGCTGCGAAGGTGACTTAAAGGAAAACAAACAATTATCTTTCAAATATCTCCCCCACTAGGATAACATCTGTTCTCAATCCCTAGTACAACTACAATGATACAATGAGTTTAAAAGCAATTTATTAGTTTGAATTAGAGTGAAGAGAGGAAGACAGAGATCTAGGACTCACGGACCACTCCCCTAAATGTCCAGCAGTCAGGGCTGGGCAAGCCGAAAGCAAGGAGCCAGGAACTCCACATGGCTGGCAGGCACCAGCTGGATTTAGGTGAGGCTTTATGTAGCTGCTATGGCATAGTGCACTAAACTGCTGCCTGTGCTATCAGCATCCTCAAGAGAATGGCTGGTTCCAATCCTGGCCACTGCTTCTGACACAAATCTCTGCTAATGGGCCTGTGAAAGAGGAAGGCCGAAGCACTTTGGCCCCTGGTTTCATCCATTTAGGGAGTAAAGACCTCTCCTGTTATTGGCCAAACCAAACTGGAAGGGGGGAAGGGAGCAGAGGGAGAGACACACAGCCTCATGGCTCAATTGGTTAATCCTGCACCTGTAAATACCAGCATTCCAAATTGGCACCAGGTAATACCTAGCTCCCTGCAGAGGAAGGCCCAAAGATTTTTTTGAGACCCTGCACTCTGGGCCCAGCACGATAGCATAGCAGTTAAGGTCCTCGCCTTGAACAGACCAAGATCCCATATGGGTGCCGGTTCTAATCCCGGGAGTCCTGCTTCCCATCCAGCTCCCTGCCTGTGGCCTGGGAATGCAGTCTAGGACGGTCCAAGACTTTGGGACCCTGCATCCGCATGGGAGACCCGGAGGAGGCTCCTGGCTTCAGAATGGCTTGGCTCTAACAGTTGTAGCCGCATGGGGGGTGAAATATCGGACGGAAGATCTTCCTCTGTCTCTCCTCCTCTGTATAACCGCCTTTTCAATAAAAAAAATAAATAAATCTTTAAAAAAAAGACTCTGCACCCATGTAGGAGACCCAGAAGGCACTCCTGGTTTTGGAGGGGCTCAATTTGGACATTATGGCCACTGGAGGACTGCAACGGTGGATGGAAGATCTATCTCTGGTTATTCTTATTTCTATAGAATCCACCTTTCCAGGCCTGGCACGGTAGCCTTGTGGCTAAAATCCTTGCCGTGCATGCACTGGGATCCTATATGGACATTGGTTTGCTTCCTGACTACTCCACTTCCCATCCAGCTCCCTGCTTGTGGCCTCGAAAGCAGTCGAGGACGGCCCAAAGCCTTGGGACCCTGCACCTGCGTGGGAGATCTTGAAGGAAGCGCCTGGCTTTGGATCAGCTCAGTTCTGGCTGTTGCGGCTGCCTGGGTAATGAACCAACACCTGAAAGATCCTCTCTGCTTCTCCTCTCTGTAAATCTGACTTTCCAATTAAAAAAATCTTTTAAAACAAAATACAACTTATTTTTCTTATTGATAAGTAGTTCTTCATTAAAGAAGATTTATTTGTATTTATATTTATTTCAAAAACTCTTCTACACAATCCCAAAATCTGAATAATTTCGTCTGAAGAGAGGGTGACGTACTGTCCTAGCTTGCTTGTCTGTACCCACATCCTTCAAATGATCCAAGGACACGATGTGACACTCAAAAGATCTGAAGAGTCCCACAAAACTGGATGTGTGCTTTCCCGTTATAAAACCCAGACCTAAGCCAAATAAAACTTAAACAAACGGAGAAGCCAGCACTGTGGTACAACAGGCTAAACTACTGACCACTTGTCACACCAGCAATTCCTGTCAGGGTGCTAACGCCCTGGCTCCACCTCCATGCTAAGGCGTCTGGGAAAGCAGCAGATGGTGTGGCCCTTGCAGCCACATGGGAGACCAGCAAGAGTTTCTGGCTTCCAATATGGCCTAGCTCAAGCAAGGATGTGGCAGGTAATAAACATTTCTAATTTTAAAAATTTATCTAACTTTTTTTTTTTGGAGAAAACATGTTTTAATTTACACTACAGTCAGAGGCTTAATCCCTTTATCAAAGAGTTCAACAAATAAAAAGCAAGAAATGTATCCTACTTCTCATGTGCCATAAGATATTAACACAAGGCTTTCAAACAGTGGTCAAGGTAACATTCATGATCACCAGATTTGAAAATCAGCAAATGACTCAAGTTGTAACACTGACCTTTTTAACTTCTCGCTTGGCTACCACTGGTCCACTTTTACTCCCAGAAACAGTTTTATCCTTGGCATAGATGTCTGTATTTGCCACAAAACTAGCTTCAGCACCTGTTACAGAACTTTAAAAAAAAAAAAAGGCAAGAAAAGGTTAAGCAAGAAACATACAAGGCAAATATTAACAGCAAAACCTAAGAGGCAAACTCTCCTGTAGGTGATTTTTTTCAGATTTTTTACCTGGGCTGATAATGCTGTAATCCCTGCACTTGGGTGGCGAGATACTGGGGTAATTCCCAAGTCACTTCATTTGATTGAGTGTTCCAATAATAATGGCATCCTGTATTCTCATCCCAAACTTCTTGCCAATCTCCCATCTCAATTCCAACTAGAAGGGAAAAAAAAAAAAAAAGCTTAAGAAACACAGTTCTGAAAATCCAATTTGGCTCAAAAAGTCTAACAATCAAATGCAGTTTCTCAATTTTGGGTGCAGAGGTTGTCACTGTGGGGGATGTTTTCTATGCAGGGTGTTTAGTCTCGCAGCAACCACACCTGTACTCACTAGCTGTGAAACCACTGGGGCTGGCACTGTGAGGTACCAAGTGGAACTACTGCCTGAAGCACCAACATCCTACATGGTGCCACTTCCAGATCTTCCTTCCACTGATTCATTCTCCAAACGGAGCTGAGTGGATCCAAAGCCAGGAGCCAGGAACTTCTCTGTCTCCCACGCAAATGCAGGGGCCCAAGGACTTGAGCCACCCTCTGTTGCTCTCCCAGGCCACAAGCAGGGAGATCAGAAGTGGAGCCACTGGGAAATGAACCATCACCCATTCGGAAGACTGGCGCTGCCAAGTAGGAGGATTAGACTATTGAGCCACTGCAACAGCCCCTAAATACAATACGTAATTTTAATCTCAGAATAACTTTAAAACCATATCATAATTTTTTTTTTCTCCACTTGCCAAAACTGCTACTGGTTAGAAAGACCAACAATTCCTTTTCAAAAGCCACAGCCAGCTGACACCAGCATTCCACACGGGCACCAGTTAACAAATCCCTGCTCCATGTCCAATCAGTTCCCTGCAATTGTGCTTGGGTAGCAGTAGAAGACTGCCTAAGTACTAGGCCCCCACACCCTCATGCTAGACTTAGAAAAAAGTTCTAGCCTAGCCTCGGTTTCTGTGACCATCTGGGGAGCAATCGGTGGATAAAAGCTCTCTCTGTCTCTACCTTTCAAAGAAATAAATATTCAAAGATAAAAAAGCTACAACTAAAGTCTGGGGAGCTACCTGAAAGACTGGCTGAAACGCCCAAAGTTAACTTAGCCAGTCAACCTGAGGATTTAAACCCGACAGTCAGTCAACTATCTCAGCTGTTTCACATGTCCGACTTTGATTTCAGGTTTATTTTTATGTTTCTTATAGGAGAAACACACACATGGAGTCAAGTTTAAATGATACAGATTCAGATGTGTTCACAAACTACAGTGAAAAAAGAGGAATCTCCAAATGCAAACTGAATAACAAACTCGATTACTGATGAAGGAGGTACATTACATTCCCACAAAGAATGTCATCTGTATGTCGGGTGAGCAATGGGTCATTAGCTTGTCTCCCTACAATGACGTTAAGATCTAAAACTCATCTCTTTGGCTGGCACCATGACTCAACAGGCTAATCCTCCACCTGATTCGCTTTGCTCCCCGATTCAGCTCCATTTACAACCTGGGAAAACAGCGGAGGATGGCCCAAGTCCTTGGGACTGAGCATCCACATGAGAGAACTGGAGGAAGCTCCTGGCTCTTGGCTTCCAATCAGCTCTGCTCAGGCTGTTGCAGCCATTTGGGGAAGGAACCAACAGATGGAAGATCACTGTCTCTCCTCTCAGTAAATCTGCCCTTCTAATAAAAGTAAGCAAATTTTTAAAAAGAACTAGAACTCATCTTTTCTTAAGATACAGTAGATGTTCTAGTAACAGCCGAAGGAACGCAGAAAGGCCAGGTACCTGGGAATGGCTGCAGAATGGACACCCCTGGCTGACTCAGGCCTCTGCAGTCACCACTTAAGTCCAAAGGGGCTAACCCATTTGGTTTAGGGACTGTCCCTGTCCAGAACACCTTTCAGGATTGCACTGTACAAAGGCCCATGCTCACTCACCTCCTGCCAGCGAACACTGAGTATCATAATGCCACCCGGATGCGTGGGCAGAGTCTGTTCCATTTGCAGTAGCAGAAGAAAGGGCAGACGCGGCTGCCCCCTTGGGCTCCGGGCGAGGTGGTGTTGGAGGTGGGGCAGAAGCCGCTGCGGGAGCTGCCGTCTGAGGAGCTGTGATGGCGTCAATCTCCTACAGAACAAACAATGCAGGAAATCAAATAAACGCCTACAAGCTCCAATCTCAGCTCCTCTGCAGGCTCTCAAGGACTCCTCTATTACGCTCTTCTCCAGCAACAAGAAGGAAAATGATAAGGAATGAAGAGGAGAGATAAAGAGGGAAAGAGAGCCAAGTATGCTAACCACTAGAGATCTACACCTCAAAGAGGCTGCAATAACTGAAAATCCAAACCAAGCAGCACTGACCGCTAAAAAGTTGGCCAAGGTGCTGTCAATGTCAGCTGACTGGTTCCCGTTGGCCTCCGACGGCTGCGCTGCTTGCTCAGAAACATCACTCTCATCATCGTCGCTGTCAGCGTAAGCACCGAGCAAGCACAGTCCGCCTGGAACAGAGAGAAACTGGTCAGGACAAGGTTACCCAGGCCCAGCACGCCACACTTGGCTGATCTCCCGCTCCAAGCACCAGGATCCCATACAGACACTGATTCACATCCAGGCTGCTCCACTTCCCATCCAGCTCCCTGCCTGTGGCCTGGGAAAGCAGTCGAGGACAGTCCAGGGCCCTGGGACCCTGCACCCTTGTGAGAGACCTACAGGAAGTTTTTGGCTCCTGGTTTTGGAACGGCTCAGTTCCAGGCATTGGGGACATTTGGGAAGTGAACCTGCGGACGGAAGATCTTCCTCCCTGTCTCTCCTGCTCTCTATATATCTGACGTTCCAATAAAAACAAATAAATCTTTAAAAAATAAAAATAAAAAGCTGAAGGAGGGCCCGGCGCGGTGGCGCAAGTGGTTAAAGGTCCTCGCCTAGCACGCCGGGGATCCCATATGGGCGCCGGTTCTAATCCCAGCAGCCCCGCTTCCCTTCCAGCTCCCTGCCTGTGGCCCGGGAAAGCAGTCGAGGACGGCCCAAAGCTTTGGGACCCTGCACCCACGTTGTGCTCAATTGGGGAGTGAATCATCGGACGGAAGATCTTTCTCTCTGTCTCTTCTCTGTATATCCGCCTTTCCAATGAAAAAATAATAAAAATAAATCTTTAAAAAAAAAAAGCTGAAGGAGATGGGCCTGGCGCAGTAACCTAGTGGCTAAGGTCCTCACCTTGCATGTGCCAAGATCCCATATAGGCGCCAGTTCTAATCCTGGCAGCTCCACATCCCATCCAGCTCCCTGCTCGTGGCCTGGGAAAGCAGTTGAGGATGAGCCAAGGATTTGGAACCCTGCACCCGCATGGGAAACCCCGAAGAGGCTCCTGGCTTCGGATTGGCTCAGCACTGGCTGTTGTGGCCACTTGGGGGGATGAATCAGTGGACAGAGGCTCTTGTATATCTGATGCTCCAATTAAAAAAATAGTAAATATATATGTAACATTTTAAAAAAAGAGAAGGAGCAGGCCTGCACTGTGGCACAGCAGCCTGCAATGCTGGCATCCAACACGGTGCTGATGCCCATCCCAAGAGCTCCACTTTCGATCCAGCTGCCTGCCAGCGGTCTGCGAGAAGTGACAGAGATGGCCTCTGCCAGATGCAGCTGTTGAAGCCATTTGGGGAGTGAACCAGCAGAAGCAAGCTCTCTTTCCTGGAACTCTACTTTTCAAATCAGCAAATCTTCAGAAAACAAAAACACTGAAACAAGGCCAAGATTGCGATTGAGTACTGATTCCTTATACCTTAATGTGTTTAGTTTATCTCCCACTCAAGCACCCTGAGGGAAAAACAAAAAAACAACAAAAAAAAAAATTCTGATTGGAAAGTCAGAACACAGAGAAGGTCACACACAGAAAGATGTTCCATTTGCCAGTTCATTCTCCAAGTGGTCACAATGGCCGGAGCTGAGCCAATCCAAAACCAGGATCCTAATGCATGCATGGTGAGGTTTTAGTTAAAGAGCTACTGCACCAGGTCTTCAAACTCCTTTTTAAGGTGTTTAGCCTATTGGCTAAAGTCCTCACCATGCATGCGCCAGGATCCCATATTGGTGCTGGTTCTAATCCCAGTGGCCCCTGGAACATCTAGCTCTCTGCTTGTGGCCTGGGGAAGCAGAAGAGGATGGTCTAAAAAAGTCTTGGGACCTTGCACCCAAGAGACCCGGAAGAGGCTCCTGGCTCCAGACAGGCTCAGCTCCAGCAGCCATTGCAGCCACCTGGGGAATGATTCAACAGACGAAAGAATTTCCTCTCTGTCTCTCTTCCTATCTGTATGTCTGCTTTTCCAATAAAAATAAATCTTTTGCAAAAAAAAAAAAAAAATTATTTAATTGAAAGGCAGAGTTACAGAGAGAAGAGAAGGAATCATGTACCTTCCCTCAAATGGCAGCAATGGTCAGAACTGGGCCAGCCCAAGTCCAGGAGCCAGGAGCTTCCTCTGGGTCCCATGAGTGCAGGGTCCATGCACTCAGCCCATCTCCTGCTGCCTTCCCAGATGCGTTAGCACAGGAGCTGGATTGGAAGCCCAGCAAGCCAGGATGGGGTGTGGAGGGCTAAGCTCTAGCTGCAATAGTACTGGGGCCCTGCAGGCACTCCAGCACACAGCAGGTAGGCGTCTTCTAATTCCCCTCCACCCAACTCCTCTCTCAAGTCAGATCCTACAGGCCCAGGGCTCACAATATTGTCCTCTACTTCTGATATCAACAAGTCCTAGGTTTCTTGTGTTTCTGGACTGACCTTGGGTTCAGTTAAATTTCTTAGAGTAAGTGGTTTTAAGAACCTTGGCGCAGCACATTAACCTCCTCCTGCGACACAGGTATTCCACATTGGCACTGGTTCAAGTCCTGGTTGCTCTCCTTCTGACAACCGGGGAAAGCAGCGCAGGATGCCTGGACACCTGGCAGAAGCTCCTGGCTTCTAACCAGCCCAGCTAAGACTGTTGCAGCCATTTGGGGAGAGAACCAGTGGATGGGAGATCTCAGTCTCTCTCTCTCTGAAATTTCATTTTTCCAATAAAAATCAATAAAATCTTAAAAAAAAAAAAACCCTCAGGGAAATAACCCTTGCCAGTTTATTATAAAGGATATTACAAGGGGTGCAGTGAAGAGCTACCCAGGGTCAGGTGTGCAAGGAAGGAGCCCTCACACACGCTCTGCACGCACCACGCCCACTCCAGTTCCCTCCATGAGCTCTTTGAGCTCCATCCTTCTGAGTTTTCTAGGAAATTTCATTACACAGGCATGACTAAGCATGTGGTGACCAACTCAACCTCCAACCCCCTCTCCTCCTCCAGGAGCAGCGTGGGTTCTCATTCCGTCCTGATCTTTGCCACGAGTAGGCAATCCTAGGGGAGCCCATCAACCAACTCATCAGCACACACACACTCATCATTCTGAAGTCTGCAAGAATTTTAGGCGTCAAATGCTGCAAGGGTGGGGTGGGAAGAAACACAACCAATGGGACAGGGATCGTTCACACAGTGTCACCCAATCTGCTACCCAGCGAGATGTACCAGGCAGTAAACAACTTCTCAGAGGAGGCCGGGGCACCAAGGTAAGCCACCACTTGGAAACCAGTACATCCTATCGGAGCGTCTGTTCCCAGGCCAGTCTTCTACTCTGGGAAGGCAAGGGTCCAAGTGTGTAGCTCCTTAATCAGAGATGGACAGAGACCCAGATGGAGCTCCTGGCTCCTGATTATACCCCGAGCCAGCCTCGGCCAACCACTGTGGCCATTTGGAAAGTGACGCAAAGGGTGGAGGCTGTCACTACATCATCTGTACATGGCCCAGTGTGTCTCCGATGATTATCTCCTGGGAGAAGGGCAGGATGGGCCAAGTCCTTAGGTTCCTGCCTCCGGGGCTCCTGGCCCCTGGCGGCTTCAGGCAGCTCTGGCTGCTCAGAGCATTTGGCTGGAACAGCAATCTCTGAAACCCTCTCTGGCACTTTACCTCTCCAACTTAACTTTTAGAAACTGAACAGGGCCCGGCGCGATAGCCTAGCGGCTAAAGCCCTCACCTTAAACGCACTGGGATCCCATATGGGCGCCGGATCTAGTCCGGCGGCTCCACTTCCCATCCAGCTTCCTGTTTGTGGCCTGAGAAAGCAGTCCAGGACAGCCCAAAGCATTGGGACCCGGCACCCACGTGGGAGACCTGCAAAAGGATCTGGGATCCAAAAAAAAAAAGATCTGGGATCCTGGCCTTGGATCGGCGCAGCACCGGCCATTGCGCTCATTTGGAGAGTGAATCATCGGACGGAAGATCTTCCTCTTTGTCTCTCCTCCTCTCCGAAACCTTTTTGTTTTTTTTAAAGATTTATTTATTTATTGGAAAGTCAGATATACAGAGAGGAGAGACAGAGAGGAAGATCTTCCATCCGATGATTCACTCCCCAAGTGAGTGCAACGGCCGAAGCTATGCCGATCCGAAGCCAGGAGCCAGGAACCTCTTCCGGGTCTCTCACATGGGTGCAGGGTCCCAAAGCTTTGGGCCGTCCTTGACTGCTTTCCCAGGCCACAAGCAGGGAGCTAGATGGGAAATGGAGCTGCTGGGATTAGAACTGGCACCCATATGGGATCCCGGCGCGTTCAAGGTGAAGACTTTAGCTGCTAGGCCACTCTGCCGGGCCCAAAAATAAATAAATCTTAAAAAAAAAAAAAAAAAAGAAAGAAACCGAACAGCTATAGATCCTCTCCAAAGGGCGTGGAGGATATGCAGCACAGGAACTTCAGACCCCTGGTGCTCAGCCATGGAACTGCACCAGGTATGCCCCCACCTTTTTAAAAATTTATTTATTTTTTTGAGGGGGAGCCAGCGCGGTAGCGCAGTGGTTAAGGTCCTCGCCTTGCACGCCTGGGATCTCATATGGGCGCCAGTTCTAACCCTGGCAGCCCCACTTCCTATTCAGCTCCCTGCCTGTGGCCTGGGAAAGCAGTCGAGGACGGCCCAAAGCTTTGGTACCCTGTACCCGCGTGGGAGGCTCCTGGCTTTGGATTGGCTCAGTTCCAGCCCTTGCGGCCGCCTGGCGAGTAAATCATCGGACAGATCTTCCTCTCTGTCTCTCCTCTCTGTATATCCGCCTTTCCAATAAAAATAAAATAAATCTTAAAAAAAATTATGTTTTTAAAGATTTATTTTGGTGAAAATCTGATTTTCCAATAAAAAATAAATTATAAAAAGTTAAATCCTTTAACCAAAATCTAAATAAACTGATTTTAAAAAAGATTTGTTTATTTTAAAGTCAGAGCTTACAGATAGAAGAGGATGGGGGGGAATGCAAAGGAAGAGGAGGAAAGACGAGAGCACTCTGCCATCCGCTAGTTCCCTCCCCTGATGGGCGCAATGGCTGACCAGGCCAGCCTGAAGACAGAAGCCCAGAACTCCTCCTGGGTTTCCTTTAGGGTGGCAGGTCCAAGCACTTGGGCCACCTCCCACTACTGTTCCTAGGCTATTACAGCAAGCTGCACAGGAGGCAAGTGGAACATCCAGGACTCACACTGACACCCACATCAGATCGCTTTATAGCTATGCCATGACATTAGCCCCAGAAAATAGTTTTTTGTATTTTTAAGATTTATGTATTTGTATTGGACAGTCAGATATACAGAGAGGAGGAGAGACAGAGAGGAAGATCTTCCGTGTGTTGATTCACACCCCAAGAGGCCGGTATGGCAGGAGCTGAACATGTCAGAAAACCAGAGCCAAAAACTCCCACATGAGTGCAGAAGCCCAGGGGTTTGGGCGTCCTTGACTTTTTTCCCCGGCCATAATCAGGGAGGTGAATGGGAAGCAGGGCCACCGGGATTAGCACAAGCGCCCATATGGGATCCCAGTGCGTGCAAGGTGAGGACTTTAGTGGCTAGGCTATTGGGCCAGACCCAGAAATCAATTTCTTAACGTATTCTGCTAACTACATGAAACCATACAAACAACGAAAACAACCTTCTTCCTTTGATTACACCTACCAGTGAGTAAGACAACAATGCTGGGAATGCTGCTGGTAGGGTAGAAGGAAAGAAGGCTAAAGATGCTGGTGCTCAGAGCACAGACCCCGCCTGGCAAAACCACCGACGTCATTGCTCCCAGGGACATCTGAATTTTACACTTTACACAAGTGTCAGAAAACTCAAATAAAATATGAATTTTGCAAGCACAAAATGTTAACACCCTTGTAAATTTCTGCTTTTCTTCCTGTTGTTGATTTTCATTTAAGGGGATGTAACTGTGTAATGGATACTGTCATATCCAGATGTGAGGATACAATGCAGTATGTATCTCTACTTCCAGATCAAAGATGGACTCCCCATGCAACTGTTAACTGTATCTTGACAATAGGATGCTGGACTCTGCCATTGTCCATGGCCACAATGATGGACTTACGATTGTTTATAAAGAACTATTACTACTATGTTAATATAGGCGAACTCAATAATTAATATAGGGGAAGGATTTTTGGGGAGGAGGTAAGGGAAATCCCAAAATCTATGGAACTGTACCATAAAAAAATGTTAACACCTGTTCTGAAATTCCTTTCACAACCATGTTGTAACTTTTCTAACCCACTAATTTTTTTTTTATAGTGACAAGTAGTGGGAAGGGACAGAATAAACATATTCTTTCAGGGTCAAATTAAAAGTATTCCAGGCAAAACATGAAATTACTACTAGTTATAGAGTATCTAATATCAAAAACATTTCATCTTTCAAAATAGGGAAGAAAAATACCCATAGGTGACACTTAGTATCTGAAAACTTTACACCCATTACTCATTTTAATTATTAAAGAAAGGCCAGGGTTATTTAAGTTCCACTTTACAGATGAGTGAAGTTCAGTCCACTTAATGATTCTCCTAACATCTTAAGAGTGACTATGTATGACTTGACGATATTAACCCAGGTTTGTCTACAAAACCAGTTGCAAAATTTTCTTTGCACGTAAACATTTAATAGGACCAATTTTCAGCTCCATAAACATCTGCTAGGTAGCGATCAAAACAAGAGTGTTAAAGTTATAAACCAGCATTTGAAGTAGAGCATTTGGGGTACAGAGAAAAGGAACCAATTTTTCACTTCTTAGTATCTCACCAAGATTTTAGGTTCCACCTCATGGGTAAAAATATAATCAACACTGAGCATTCAACAAACACTCCCTGTAAAAGGCTTATTTAAACGTCATAAAAGATAGTCTGGAAAAGATGGGGGAGGGAGAGGACAAAATTTCTACCTGTTGCTTTAACGGCTGTGGGCCTGGTAGTCATGACCGGCTTTGGAGGATTCGGAATTACTCTGGGAACGTCCACCACCACTTCTTGCTCATCTGCAGGGAGAAACGCACCAGGAGTCTGCAGTCAGAGAGTGCATGTGACAAGGCCGCCTTGGCCGTGACCTCTCCGGACTAGAACGTCTCGGGGTGCGGACTGTTGGAACGTCTTGCATGAGCCAAACGACTTCCACAAAGCTGGCATCTCAACAACCGTACAGAAACACCTTGCAAGACCTGCAAACGCACACCGCCACGCGGTCCACGCCGCCCCGGGGCCCTGGGCAGTGGGGTCACCGCTCCGACCTGGCCGTTCGCCCTGCAAGACCTGGGCCAGTGCAAAAGGAACCCACAAACTCCCCCTTCTCCAGGGACTTCTGGGAAACGTAATGCAATTTGAGTGGACAATTAAATAAAACGAAAGAGCTAATCATTCCGTCTCAGTTTTCAACAAAAACGTAGGGAAGCCGACCACGCGTGGCCAAGCCCAGGGTTCCACCGCCACGAGCCTCGGGCACGCGGACACCCCAAAGCAACACCACCCGCACACCCCAAAGCACCACCACCCGCTCCCCCGCTACGTTCTCCAGACCCACCCGGGGACTCCTCCCAGGCCCCGGAGGGCCCCGGACCTTTGTCCGGATTCAAACGCTCCCGTGGCCGAGCTTGCCGCAGAGATGGCGCCCCGGGAAGCAACGGCGGGTCTCTTCCGCCGCGCTCCTCGCGGGCCCCGAGCAGACAGGCCTCGGCAGCGGACCTGGGCGGCATGCCCCTCGGGGTTCTCGTCCTCACGGGATTCAGCACCGGCCGCCCCGAGAGGTCTAGGCCGCAAAGCCCCGGACTCGAGTTTCGATCTCTACAAGGAGAAGCCAACGGGCCTCCCCGTCACCATCACTTACCTCCACCTTCGGACGCGGAGTCCTCCGGGGCCGCCGTGGCGGCGGCCGTCGTGGTCGTCACCGGGGCTGCCTGGCCAGCAGCCGCGGCCGTCGAGTCCGTCTCGGCGTCAGCCTCTGGCTCCGGGTCGCGTCCCGGAGTGCTGCTCCGGGGGCCGGGCGGTGAGAGCTGCAGGATGGGCCTGCGGCCGGGTACCGCCCGGGACTTCTTCCCCATCGCGAGCCCGAACGCGAGCAGAGAGCGTCGGCAGTCGAGAGGGGCGGGCGCTCGGCGCGGAGCGGAACGGCGCTGCGTAATCAATATTCATACACAGTGATCCCTCCTCCCGGTCGCGGCCGCATTTAACCGGCGCAGCGCGCGCTGACGCATGCGCCCTGCTTTTCCTGCTGCTAGTGGCTCCTCCTCTCTGTCGAAGGGCGGGCTTTTCCCAGGGCGCTACACGATTGGCTGTTTTGATTCAGAGTAACAACCGGTAGCCAATGGAAAAGGAAAAACGGTATGCATCCAGCCAATAGCGCAGAAGAGTTGGAGTTGAGTTTGACTTCCGGCTTAGGATGGACTACACCCTTGCGGCTTCCCCCTCCCCCCGCCCCCACGGTCCCTGGTCCTCCATTTTGTGACTGTTCCTCGCTCCTTTGTTTCTCGTGTTTCTTGGGCTCTTTCCTGAGGCTCATCTGCTTGTTGTAGCTTCCTTTGGGTAAAAATTCAGCCGTTAAATAAAATAGTACGGTCTTTTCAGGCTTCTGTGAGGAAAAATGTCTGGTGTTGTTTTATTAGCTGGGGATTAGGGGTAGGGCAGGGAAGACTGAAAAAGGCCTCTTTGGTTGGGAAAGGCCATAGGAGCGTTCCTACTCTGATAATTTCAACTTGATTAATCCTCCTCCGACGCGCCCCCACCGCCACGCCCTCCAGTAACCCGCTGGGGCTGTGAGAAAACAACCAGGAGGCCAGGGTCTTGAACTCGTGAACTGGCCCGGAAGTGAGCTCCCTAGTCTCCGTAACCCCAAGCAGTGGTGTTTTATCCACGTTGAGAGCTTTACCTGAGGAGGTTCTGATGGAGGAGTTTAGGAAACTCCTCTGGCAGGACACAGTCCCTGCAGGTGAGCGCAAGAACCACCATAGAGAGCAGCTTAGGCCAGGCCGGGGAATGGTACCCACCAGCTTATATCTGGCGCAGGTCAGTGGCAGACTCACCTATGCCAGTTATTATGATCAATACGGTCATGTTTTGTCATCACTGACCCCATCTCTAGCTTTTTCTTTTTAAAAATATTTATTTTTATTGCAAAGTCAGATATACAGAGAGGAAGAGAGACAGAGAAGATCTTCCATCCGATGTTTCACTCCCAAAGTGACCGCAACAGCTGGTACTGTGCTGATCCCCGAAGCCAGGATTTTTTCCGGGTCTCCCACGCAGGTGCAGGGTCCCAAAGCTTTGGGCTGTCCTCAACTGCTTTCCCAGGCCACAAACAGGGAGCTGGATGGAAAGTGGAGCTGCTGAGATTAGAACAGGCGCCCATATGCGGTCTAGCGTGTTAAAGGTGAGGATTTTAGCCGCTAGGCCACTCTGCCAGGCCCTCTAGCTTTCTCTTGTAACAAGCTGTAATGGAGCCAAGGAGTTGCCTGCTCTAGCAAAGAGGCCCACCTTGACAGTGGCTGACTGAGCCACCTTGGCAAGTACATGCTGATACCCACAGAAGATAGTTTGGGTCCAAAATTTCTTCCCAGTGGTTGACATCTGGAAGCCAGATAATGTCACTTCTGGGACAATAAATACCAATGCCTTACAACTGTTTTTTGAGATATGTTAGACCACAATTCCACTCTTTGCAAGATAAAGTAAATGAAAGATGCTCCTGGAATGGAAAAGGTCCTTTATTTTATAATTTGGATATATCTAGAACCTTTGGGTATCCTTTGGAAATGGTGCTTTGGTTTCTTTCTTTCTTCTTCTTTTTTTTGACAATCTTTACATAGTTAATTAGGGTAAAAAAAAAGGTTCAAGGGCTACAGGAAAATGGGTAAGACTATTATTTTTTCCAAATTGTTTCCTTCATGTTTAAAGGGGGATATTTTCTGATACAGGAAGTCACTCCAAGGCTAAGGGAGAGTGTACTGTTAGATTGGCTTTACTATTTATTTTAATCCGCCAGGATTAGAACCAGCTACCATATGGGATCCTGCTGCATGCAAGGCGAGGCCTTTAACCACTAGGCTATCGTGCCAGGCCAGAAAATTTATTTTTTCTGTTTCTCCTCCTCTTTGTATATCTAACTTTCCAATAAAAGTAAATCTTTAAAAAAAATTTTTTTAAATATTGGGCCCAGTGTGATAGCATAATGGTTAAAGTCCTTGCCTTGTATATGTCAGAAACCCATATGGGCGCTGATTTTAGTCCCCACGGCTCTGCTTCCCATCCAGCTCCCTGCTTGTGGCCTGGGAAAGCATTTGAGGACAGCCCAAGGTCTTGGGGCCCTGCACCTGCGAGGGAGACCCAGAAGAGCTCCTGGCGTCTGGCTTCAGATTGCCTCAGCTCCAGCCATTGCGGTCACTTGGAAAGTGAACCATCAGACAGAAGATCATCCTCTCTGTCTCTCCTCCTCTTTGTATATCTGACTTTGTAATAAAAACAAATAAATCTTTAAAAATTTTTTCTTAAATATGTATAAACTTGAAACTAAATAGCAAAACTTCAGCATGTCCTAGGATGATAAACTCCTACAATTTTCGCTTTTTTTTTTTTTAAGGTTTTTATTATACAAAGTGACAGAGCATCTTCTATCTGCTGGTTCACTCTCCAAATGACAACAGTTCCTACGTCTCTCACCTGTTATCTGACTAAAGGGGCAGTAGATTGTGAGTAGATTGTGGCCTAAATGCTATGCCACCATAACTTGCTTAGACTCCTCAGATTGATTTTTTTTTTCTTTCATTTATTTATGTGAAAGGCAGGAAGTTGAGAGAAAGAGAAACTTCCAAATGCTGCATTACTCCCCACGTAGCTACAATTGCTGGTGTTGAACCAGGCTAACGTTAGGAATCTTCAACTCCATCTGGATTTCCCATGTGGGTGACATGGGCCCATCTTGGGCCATCTTCAATTGCTTTCTGACAATCTGCAGGGACTGGATTAGAAGTGGAGAAGCTACCCCAGCTGTATGCTGCTGCCTGTATAGCATTGTACACAGGCAAATGTTAAACTGCTGGGATAAAAAGCAACTAATACCTGGTAGGCATTCTGGGCCTGGTTACTGTCAAATTTGTGTTAACTATACCAGTGTGCCTATACAGTTGCCTATCATATTTTATTTTTAATTTAAAAAAACTTATTGGAATGTCAGATATACAGAGAGGAGGAGAGACAGGAAGATCTTCTGTCCCATGATTCATTCCCCAAGTCACTGCAATGGCCAGAGCTGAGCCGATCCGAAGCCAGGAGCCAGCAACTTGTTCCAGGTCTCCCACATGGCTGCAGGGTCCCAAGGCCTTGGGCCATCCTTGACTGCTTTCCTAGGCCACAAGCAGGGAGCTGGACCTGAAGTGGGGCTGTTGGGATTACATCTGGTGCCCATATGGCATCCTGGTGCATTCAAGCCTAAAGTTTTAACTGCTAGGCCACCATGTGCCAGCATCTGCCCTCTGATGCTGGGGCAAAACCCAACCAACCCTCACCCACTCTGATTTATGCTTGCACCAGTAGGGACAGTCAACCAAGCCTGGCTTTTCCTTGATCTAGCTCACATGAGGTCAACAGGTGTTGCAACCCTGCCTGGTCTGGTCTGCCTCCATCTCCAGTGGGTGAGGTGTTCAGGCAGGGGGCCCTCCTCATTTCCCCTACTAACTTTACTCCCTCCCTCCCTGGTTCTTATGTGTGCTGGTTGGGCACTGTGGCGAGTCTGGCATGGCCCACGTCACCTTGGCATTTACCAGTGGATCCAGCACCGTCGTGGGAGACCTGGAGGAGGGTCCTGGCTCTTGGCTTCTGGCTTTGGTTGCCCTCAATTCCAGCCATAGTAGCTACTTGGGGATGGAAGGTCTTCCTTTCTTTCTCTCTTCCTCTGTATATCTGACTTGCCAATTTTAAAAATAAATAAATCTTGAAAAACAAAACATGAGGGCCTGGCAGAGTGGCCTAGTGGCTAAAGTCCTTGCCTTGAATGCGCTGGGATCCCATATGGGCGCTGGTTCTAATCCCGGCAGCTCCACTTCCCATCCAGCTCCCTGCTTGTGGCCTGGGAAAGCGGTCGAGGATGGCACAATGCTTTGGGATTCTGCACCCATGTGGCAGACCCGGAAGAGGTTCCTGGTTCCCGGCTTCGGATCAGCATAGCATCGGCCGTTGCACTCACTTGGGGAGTGAATCATTGGATGGAAGATCTTCCTCTCTGTATATCTGACTTTGTAATAAAAATAAATAAGTCTTTAAAACAAAATGAAACAAAACAAAATATGAAAGGCTTGTTTTTCTTATGGGAAACATACCTTTGTGGAGGTGCTTCTATGTTTATAACAAGGGCTCTCACCCATGGCATTTTATAGAATCATCTAGCCATCCTTAAGACCATATAAGACTCTAAATCAGTAGGACTAAGGATGAGAGGGCAGGGCCCAAACCAATTGTTTTCTGAACAGTTTGGAAATGGATGATCAGTCTAGCTGTCAAGATGTCAACTGGGATGCTAGCCTTTCGTATTGCAGTCCTGATCTGCCCCTGATTCTGGTTTCCCGATAATGTGCACAATGGCAGGCACCAGGGGATGACTGGAGTCACTGGGCCCTGGCCACCCGTGTGAGAGACCCAGATGGAGATCCTAGCTTTCTTTTTTTTTTTTTTTTTTTAAGATTTATTTTTATTATTTTTTCTTGGAAAGGCGGATACACAGAGAGGAGAGACAGAGAGGAAGATCTTCCGTCCGATGATTCACTCCCCAAGTGAGCGCAACGGGCCGATGCTATGCCGATCCGAAGCCAGGAGCCTCTTCCGGGTCTCCCACGCAGGTGCAGGGTTCCCAAAGCTTTGGGCCGTCCTCGACTGCTTTCCCAGGCCACAGGCAGGGAGCTGGAAGGGAAGCGGAGCTGCCGGGATTAGAACCGGCGCCCATATGGGATCCCGGGTGTGCAAGGCGAGGACCTTTAACCACTTGAGCCACCGCGCCGGGCCCGATCCTAGCTTTCAACTCCACGCTGGCCCAAGTCAGCCAGTGTTCTGGTCCCGTAGAAAGTGACTCAGTGGAGAGATAGGAGCTTT